AAACTCGCCGGAAGGTCGCCGGAAATTGCAGAAAATGCCCGGAAAAATCTAGAAAATTCTAGAAAAATCCCTAAAGTCTTATTTAATTATTTTTAGCCATTATTAATTTCATAGGACATTAAATAAATATATACCATCCTATATAATTAAAATTCCATTAATTTGAATAAAATAAAATTAATAATTTATTAACCTCTAAACCTTGGCTCTATGCATAAAACTAAACTAAACAATTAATTTATTAATTCAAAGGGGAAAAGTAGATAATAACTTGCCTTTTTGGATTTAAAATAAATCCACCGGTCTGCGCGTAGTCGGGTAAAATTGCCTACACCGGTCCAAGCTTCTTCCTCTTTCTCCTTTCCTTTCACTCTTATAAAATAGCTCTCTAGAACTTATACTTTGCTTCTAACTCCCTTTATTTTTTTTTTTTTCTAAGGCAAGCTAGTTAATTTATACACAAAATATATAATATAAATATTACAAATATCTAATTTATAATAACTTCTCACCCATTTCTCATATTCCTACCTATATGGCTTTAATTCCAACCATAACCATTGATGCAATCCTATCCTAATCTCTAATTTCATCATGACTTTGGTTTAATACTATTTTTATTATTATAAATATTATTATTATTATTACTAATATTATTATTAATAAACTTTTATAATAATTATTATTATTATTATATTATTATTATTATTATTATTATTAAACTAATATAATTATTATTATTACAAAATAATACATTATATCATCATAATACTATATAACACAAATATAATACTTTAATTAACTAATAATGATTAATTTAAGCATAACCAACAAATGAAATTATTATTAATAATACATGCATAATTAAATGAATAAATTTACTATTTTAACATACACAATTAATTTACATGCACAATTAAATGAACTTAATATAATAATGTAGTATGCACAAATAAATAAAATTAATTAACCTAACACAAGATTAATTTAAATACATTCTTTAAAATTACGGGGTATTACAAAATGGCACTTTGTCAAAACTCTGTTCAAATAATGGATCCTATTCAGATAAATTATCTTTCAATCTATATCCATGCAATTAGATGAAAATAAGTGGAGTCATTAAAAATAAATATGATGTATATCCAGTTATCGAATATATAGCTTCTATCTGATAGAGGTGCTTCTATATATTTAAAGGGTTCAAAAATACATTCTAAACTACAGGAGCTTTTGGGCAGTGAATAATCCACCTGGCATTTGCTCTTGGAGCTTTAAGAAGCTTTTGAAAATTGAAAGTTGATGTGATCATGTAAGGCATTTCTTTAAAAAATAAGAATTGGAAATGGAGAGACCAACTTTGTATCTTATGATTCTTGCCACACTGCAGGTCCTAAAAGATGCTGCCGTTCCTCATCGCAAGATTTGGGAAGATCTTATGTACGCAATCTTACTATTGCATTGAGAAAATATTTTTAATTTCGAACGCATGAGCTGCTAATTATAAGTGATTAACCTTATTGTTACGGTAAGACTCAATTTCCTAATCCAAAATTAGTAGATACAGAGTCTAAAATTCTAGTGTTAATGGTCAATGGCTTTAAACATGCCTGTAGTTCACCTGTGTTCATGTGATGGTGATGGGTCATGCCCTATGCTTCTCTTCGAATTCTATTGGGGTTTGGAACTCTAATTAAGAGGCGTATAAGTTTGGGCTTGCTCCAAGTTGTTAATGAGCCATTGAACAACGTATTTGGGTTGGGCCTTGCGTGTAGTTTGCTGGGTGAGATTTGGGATTTGTATTTGATTTAAGACGGTGAAAATCGATGAAATTTTGTTCGACAATTTTTTTATTTTTTTTATTTTTTATTCATCTTAATACACGCCCAAAAGAATATTCATAATAATAATATATATGTATGAGATTTTAGATCTCTCAATTTATGTATGAAATTCTAGAGACTAAATGTATGTATTTCTAGAGACTACTACATGTATGGGATTGTAGATCATTTAATTGCATATTGCGAATAATGCTAGAGTATGATATTCTTTATAAATAGTTGAGTCTTATTTTCCTTTCTTTTAGAGCTGCAAGGGTGCGTAGTGATAGCTTTCCTCTTTCTCTTTTACTGTTGAATAAATTTTTAGATCCAATGCCTAGTTATAGAATGTTGTAGGGCTCTGCACGATGAAAAGAGATGGCCATTAACTATTATGAAATCTATATCAAAGGCGGTAAGAATTGTAGAATTTTTAATCTTAACAAGCTTTAAGATTTCTTTACCTCTAATTTGGCTAGATTTGTCTTTTTCGTCATAATTGTCTTGCTCCACTCTGACCAATGTTTTGATAAATTCGAATATAACCACCTCAGAATTGACTGAATTTATAAATGAGACATTTTTCTATTTTGATCATGTTATAAGTTTTAAATTTAACAATTAAATTATAAAGATAATTTTGTCATTTTATATTAATTTTGGATAACTTGATAACTTTTCACCCTCATATCTCATAAATGATGATGAATTACAAAAATACCCTGCTTTCGTAATGCGCGTACATATATATATATATATATACACTCTGTATACGTTATGGTTTTGATGTACGGGCTTATACAACATCCATTAAGATTAGATAAGAAAGAAGTCCAGAAAGTGAATATTCTTTTTGACAGGCTGTGGCTCCTTTTCGTTTATACATCTTCTTATTAAATTAGAATAATTTCACTAACACCCCTAGTAGTTTGGCCAAATATCAGTTTAAAATATCTTTCGAAAATAACTATCACTTAGATCCATTTTTGATTTTCCGTTACAGCCTCCGTTAGAAACATATGAAAAGACAACTTTGCCCCTATTTTTTTAATAACATTTATTTCAAAATATCAGATTAGTTAAAAGACAATTATACCCTGACAATTGGGTAGATGTAACTGTTGGCCATCGTGGTGGTGGTGGTGGTGGGTGGTGGTTCCAAAAATAAAGGCTTTTTTGGTGGTGGGTGGTGTGTTGCAGAAGAGAGAGAAAGTGCATAGAGAGATTGGTGGTTGGTGGTTGGTGGTCGGTGATGATAGGGTGATGGTGGTAGTGGTGCCGCCGACGACTGTGGTTGCATAACCCAAACCCATTTTTGTTGTCAGGTGAGGTTGAGGCGGGGTTTGGAAGCGGTGGCATGGTTCACAACAGAAACTTCAGGCGACATAAGCGGCAACATGGTTTAGGGCGGCGACGGCGAGGATGAGTGCTTGTCGCCGGGAGAGAGAGAGCGAGCTAAGCTTCATTTGTTCGCCGGCCGCCGTCTGAAGCCTCCTTGCTCGTCGGCCACAGCCGAGCTCGGTGGATTGAATCGGCAGTGAGAACTATATATATACTGATTATTTGGGTTTGAGAGGACCGGCGAGGGGCGACTGGAGGAGGATTCGCGGGACTTAGTAGCGAGTGGATTAGCGGGAGAGATGACAACTCCAATTCTGCAGTGAAGAGCTCGGCTCGGCGGTGGAGTAGCGGCAACAGCGAGCTTGGAGATGGAGAGCGAAGACGGCTGTGAGAATGTTGATGGCGCCGGCGAGACAGATCCGGTGGCGGCAGATCCAGTGGAAACGAGCTCTGCGAAGAGGGAGATGACTGGGTTTTGGAGATCCGGCGAGACAGATCCAGGTCTTGGATTTATAGATCGGACCGGATCGGCGGAATTTAGGGATGGATGAGGAGCAAAATCGGAAGAAATCTAGGGCGAGGGTTGTGGATTTGAGGACTTCTGAGGATTTGGAGTGTTTGGAGGTAGTCGGAGAGGTCGAGGAAAGGGTCTGATGATGAGGATTGGAGGATCCGAGCAACCTTGCAGATGAGGTCGCGGCGAGGGAGACATCGGTTTGGAAGGTGGGAGAGTCGACTTTGACGGCGAATGAGCGGCCGTTGTCGGATTCGACAACGACTCCGCCACTGTATTTGGTGGTGGTGTTGTGCTTGTGTGTGTGTGTATATATATATATATATGTCTGTTTGTGTATATAGGAGTATATAGATGTCTGCCTGAATATATAATATAATTTGTAAATTTACAAATTTTTGAGGGGCCATATTGTCTTTTAATACTGATATTTTGTAAAAAAATAAATTAAAAAAATGAGGGTATACCAAAGTCAGGGTCAAACTAAAGTCAAAGGGTAAAAATGTCTTTTTACATGTAAAAAGTGGTCTGACACATCTGTAAACTAATTTTTGGGGTATGAGTGAAAAACGGAGCAAACGTTTATAATGTGATTGATAGTTATTTTCGAAAGATATTTTAGACTGATATTTGGCCAAATTACTGAGAGTGTCAGTGAAATTATCCCTATTAAATTTGTTCAAGATTCATATTTTTTTCCTGCTGGCCCTCTTGTCTTTGAAGGTTGGGTTTGTTAAAACGATTACGGTCTGTACCAAACAATGGTGGGTTGTTGCCGAACCAAGCTCCCCGACAGCTTGTACAAAAAATTCTTGTCATTTTATCAAGTAAATGAACATCTAACAATTATATTTACCGGAAAAAGAAAAGAAAAGAACTTCTAACAATTATATTCAGTGAATATAAGTTCCATTATTGAAAAAAGAAGTATTATAAAACATTTCATGCACGGATGAATTGGAAAAAAAAACTTTGCCTAAAATTTAGTAAGTAAATTAGTAAATGTATATCATTGTCTCGGGGTGGTATGAGCTCTCCTATTTGCGAGTGGTAAGTCTCAAAAGAGGCTGTGTGGAGTTTTATGTTACTTGATTACTTCAAGAAAGAAGAGACTAGGACCAGGTAGGTAACTCTCTTTAGGAAGGTTCATGCATCATTGGAATATATCGATTTAAGATTATCTTAGAACACAACATTGCCCCTTAAAAGATGCAGCTTTCAAAAAAGGAGAAAGTATTACATGATCCGGGACCAATCCAATTACTGGTCGACACAAATAATTTTTTTTTGAAATAAAACTAACACATTTGCTTACGAGTACATTAGCAAAAAAGCAACGTGTTGATTGATTTAAGGCATGTAGCATTGAGGGGAGAAGAGAATTTGGGAGTAGTAATGTATTTCTTCCCTCTAATTTCATTTCTCTTTATACAGAATGATTACAATATTTTTATACAGATGCATAGAAATCATACACTTCACTACAACGTCGTGTTGGAAATAAGTCGAACTTCATAAAGATCTTTTTCTCCCTTCCCTGCACCCACAAGTTCATGAAGGTTTACTCAAAGATTGTTCCCTGCATTCGGAATTTTTTTACATCTCACGAAAATCAGCATATTTAGAACTTACCAACTTCAGCAGTGATCCCTGGTCCGAAGAACGAAGCAAATTTTGCCTAAGAAACAATTTTATGTTAGAAATTTCAGTACATCATTAATTTCATTGTCTTCTGAAATTAAAAATAACAAATAGGGCAACATATATATATATATATATATATATATATATATATATATATGTATTTGAGAGGAGGGTGGGAGGGATACAAGGGATTGTCAATCCAGTTGAACTCAAAAGAGAACTTTAAACGTATAAAACAAGAGCACTGATACGCATAGTGAGAGTTTCAACAGAACCCCTCTCCATTCATTAGATAATGCATGCGGGACCCAACAAAAGCCTCACTTTACCATCCAGTGAATGGGGAGCCCTTCAATCCCCATTCAGTTGAAACTTTCACAATGTTCAATTGTTCATCATTTTACATAAAACAATCATCATAAATGAGGAAATTATGGCTTTTGCATGATCACAAAATTATCTCACCTGTCTTCTTTCAAAATCTGACAACTGCAGACCTCTTGCCTCAAACACCAAGACTAGACAGTATTTACCATCTTCAGTGACCTGGGACATGGTTGTTGGCAAAATAAGGTGGCAACAATTGAAGTAGTATAACCACATATACAACTAATCAAGTTTTGTCTAATTTAGTAGTTTTGTATCAGGTTTCCGTTTCAATGTTTCTTCTTTCACATTATTAAGTCAAGAAGTACGTGCAATATTAAGGCCCTTCTACAGAGCAGAAACCTAGCAAAATCCAGAAGGGAAATTTGCAATTTGTAAAATCCTAAAATAGAAAGCTAAAAAAATCTGAATACAGGAAAGGTGGTGCAATATACTTTAGAATTTAAAATCGTATTAGCGTTCCCGCACACATTATACCAGTTTTCAAAGAGGATATTTATAAAGCTGAATTACGTTATGGCCATAACGAAAAAAGATTTTGCCAACCCACAAAAACAGAAAGCTCAGTGTGGACTAAAAAAGATAAGCCATTTCCTGCTAAGAATTCAAGTTCAAGAAGCATACTTCTTCACGAATCATTTGCAGTATAGGTGCACTCCTTCGTGGAATTCCTCCACCCTAGACAGAAAAAGCAGATTACACTGATGTCAGAGCAACCGAAAAACTTTCCCAAAGGAAACACTCCAAGGACACAGAAATTGTACACAAAAAATTGGGACTTTTTTTCTTTTCCTTTTTAATACAAGTATTTAATAAAATTTCCCACGAGAAAGAAAAATGTAGTGCGCTAGAAAACTGCAACATCTAACTAAAATCAAGCAGAATATGCTGCTCACTTCAAGACACACCGACTTTGATCAATTCCAGTAGGGTAGAAGGCAAGCACACCATTACATTTGAGCAGCGGATAGAACACGCTTGTATTCACAATAAGAGGGTTTGAACCTAAACTGTCTTATTTTATTTATATTTTTTAACCCATAAAAGTTTGAGGTTAAAACTCTGAAGGAATTTTCATTTAAAAAAAAAGAAGGAAAGAATCAAATATATTGCAAAAACGAATTGGTTATGTAACATTGAAAAGACTTAAGGACAATAAAGTCACCTAAAAGAACTCTATCAATGAACATTTGTTTTTTAAGAAGTAATAACTAATAACATAATGTTATAAATCTCTGATGTTGAAACTTCAAACTACCATATTGGTATTTTTATACAACATTTGAGCCATTTATTCAACAAAAAAATGAACACCTAAAAATGTTCAAACTACCAATATGGGCTAAAAACTGTTCAAAGTATTCTAGCATGTCAAAAACGGGTCAGGTGTGAAGGCAGCTCTTTTATTCAGGTGTTTGGCCACAAGGTGGTTAGAGAATTCAACTTACCAAGAAATTGCTATATTAACCAGGTCATTCAGAATGGTAGTTGGTCCTAAGCCTATACTCCTAATGCCTGAAGCTATCAACATTTGGAATCTCATTTCTGGTACTCCAATTCAGCAAGGTCCTGATGTGATAAAATTGAAGAAAGGGGTTCCTAGTTTTAAAACCTTTCGGAACCTTTGCAGGTTGCAGTTTTCAAAAAAAGGACTGGACTAATCTCATTTGCCGTGGCCGAAGACATGCAGCTAGTTGTACTGGGACCTTGATTATGCAAAACAAAATTCCTTCCATGGTTAATCTACAGAGGCACTAGTCTATCCCCTGTTTGTCATAATTGTATAGAAGGGTGTGACTCTGTGAATCATTTATTTTTCTCTTCTCAATTTGCTAAGAAAATGTGGTCTAGGATTGCTGAACTCTTTCATTGGAAATGGAGTTCCATTGATCTTTTGATAGTCTTGTGCATTGGTTCACTTGTAGAGGCCTGTCGAGACATCATAAATTCTCCAAGATTGTGTTTACTAACTGCATTTGGAGAATTCGGTGGCATAGAAACCAGGTGTTCATGATGGTAGTGGTCAGGATGCTGTCCAACTTGCTAAGATGGCTGTGTTGAAGCCTTTGAAGTGCTGAAGTTAAAGTTACAGAATATAAATAATTAAGTAGAGAAGAAAAACAGGTTTGAGTGGTGATTTACACTTAAGAAAGTTCAGAGAGGGTCTTGAGGATGATGCCCCAAACTGGAGGTTTTGCTGTCGTGCCTGGTGGAATTCCCATAAGAATCCTGTAGTTTCTTGGTTCCCATAAAAAGAGAGTCAAGTGTGAACGGGTAGGTAGCCATGACCGGCAAGGCCCAAATTCGACCTGGAATTTTTAGACTTTTTTTTAATTACTTGAAACCAATTACTTATTCAAAAAAAGTATAAAAATGTAAAACCTTTTTTTTAATCATCATGATGTCATCTAGCTAAGATACGAGAGAAAATCCCATATGTGTTGTGTGTAGGAAACAGGCACCTCACGCATTTAAGAGAGTCCATGTAAAAAACATGTGCATTCTATATTCAAATGATAATCCCTTATATATTTTATGTTTCTGTAGACAATTATCATAAAAAAACACATCAACCCTTATAAAACAAAATGAAAATGTGAGAACACACCTGACCATATTGAAATATTCGTTTCAGTGCCTCTTCCAAATGTTGCTCATCCCCATAACGGTATCTAATAACATCATCCCTGACCTAATAGAAGCAATAAAAATGTCATTCTGTATGAAATAATTGAGACAATGAATATAATGCAAAATGACTAGATTATTGCAGACATTGACTAAGTCCTGTCTAGCATATTTTCTTGGATTATGAGGAAAACATAAAAAGAGAAGGAGCTTAAAGAGGATAGCCAACCAGTAAAATAATTAAATAATTTCTGAGAAAAAAACATTTTTGCTGAGGTAAGGAATAAGTAGCATTATGTCCATAACAATGTAAAATACCTGTTTAAGAATTGGAGTGGCACAATTTTCCCTCAACATCTGAGCATCTGAGTAAGTCAAGCATGGCACTGGTTTAAGCTCTGCATACTGCATAAAAACATTAGTAGATGAAAGAAACATTACTTAACTGCCTTTACCAACAAACTGAATAACTAAAGGTGATCACTTTTTCATACACATTGCATGGCCCTAAGGCCATATGGAAAGATCAAGAAAAAAACATCATGAACTAAAAACAAGCAAAGGAGTACTAGCTAAATGAAAGAAATAGGGTAACCAACATGAAAAGTAGAAAAATTACTCCAGACAGTGCACAAATAATGTTCAAATTTCTTCTGAGCAATATCATTGTAAACAAAGTTGTGATTTCTGTAACACTTTCAAATTCAGAATGACATTTTGGTGAATCTATGAATTCCATTATGCCTATTCAATTTTGATAGGAAATAAGATTCTTTATGTTCCATGTACTTGGGTACGCGAGTGGGACATAGAATTGCATCTAACTGTTGGATTAACAAACTCCCTAAACTAAGGACACCTCGGCAAAAAAAATAAAAATAAAAAAAATAAATAAATAAAAAACTAAGGACACAGGAACATAATTCAACATTCATATTTTTAGCATTCTTCTTCTATTTTGTAGAATAAAATGATGTTTTAATGTAACGTACGATGTTCAAAGTAGAAGCTTTTTCTGAAGCAAAAATGTATATCAGAATAGAACAAGAATGCAATGTTACACGCGTATACAATAAAAATAATAAAAGATAACCAGTGAATGTCATAAAATAAACAGAAATTGAACTTCAGATGTAGCTTCTGCAAAAAAATTTACTTATGATACATTTTCAATGAATCCGTTTCAGAATCCCAAAATGCAAGCCAGAGAAAAAAAATAAAAAATAAAATAAAATCACCTTGAGAGCCATGCCTATTATTGCAAGAGGAAAGCCGTAAGTAAGCATCAATGCAGACCACTCAGATCCTGGTAGGATATTGAAGTATGCCCCAAAACCATACCTGTAGAGTGAAAACAAACCAGTGTAAAATATCATGATACTCTTTCATCATTAGGCATACTCAATGGAAAGATTACTCACGAGAGGAGTGTAACTCCAAGACCCAGTCCAATAACACCAAATGAAACCTGCAAGAATTACTCAGCAGCATGATTAAACTACAGAAACAAGCCTGACATTTTATATTTAAAAAAAGGAGCATTCTGATAAGTAATTTGAATTGTTATGTAAGATTAGTCAAAAAACTATACAGCTCCAAACTCGGCTTCCTAATTATTGGACATGCCTACCTAGGGATTGAAAATCCTAAGAACTAGGTTACGGACTAACAGATCATAAAGTAGTCTATGAGTCAACACGCATTATTAAAATACTAAAGACATGGATTCCACCCAAATGATGTAGGTGCTTATGGTTGGGAAACAGGGGGAGCAAATGCACATGGAGATCCAATTAGAAATAATAAATTAATCATACAAATACATGAGATTTAATGTCATTCAACACAACCCAGCCTACATCCACGGAGAGAAGGTAATTATTAAAATGGTAGCAAAAACCCAACACCAGACCATGCAGGCAAACTCTCGCTCCAGGATATGGTGGCAGATACCCAAGCCTTTCACATGTACCACTCCATGAGACTTCCCTCTTGTCATTGGTTTTCTGTCCACTATACCAACTCATAAATCTCATCTTTGTATGCCGTGTGAAGAAGAGGAGACAAGATACTACTCCCTCATGAGACTACATCTCTCTTAGTAAGACTGTGATGGTCATAAAGGTTATGAATACATTTGTATCAAGCCTTTAAACTTCTGTAACCGATAATTTTAAATTTAATCTTGACAGTAATTGTCATCATCTTGAATACACTAATTAGAGGTTCAATTTGCATTTCTTTCTATCTTACATAGAATCTTCATAATGCACGAAATACGACACAAAATTTTGATATGATATAGGTTTTTCATGTTTGGTTCAACATGAACATTGTGAACATATTTAATAGTTAAAGATTATCATGTAGTTGTATGCAAAAATAATTTATTATGCTCCTTTGTTAAATTATTAATTCAAAACAAGTGAATGTTCCAAATTGAACACTTTATGTTGCATAAAGGCACCATTTCATCTTGAAAACAAAATAAGAATTTTAAATGCAAAGCTACATACATGCACTAAACATATGTATCCAAGTCCATGTAACATAGATTTCATTACCATTGACTATTCAAATTAATCCTATCTACCAACTTAATACTTATCCTCTGCTACTTTGTCTTCCCTGGTTAATAAATTTTTAGGGAAAGTATGATGTCGTGTGGAGCTTCTATTCCTCTGTGCTTTGCAAACAGAGAGGAACTAACCTACAATTCGTAGTTGGACTGTTCTGCCATGGAAGCAGTAAGCTTAGACCTACTACACCAGACAATATCCAGTAAGGTGCAATTTGTTTTAAAGAGTGCAACTTAGTACCCATGTCAAATCATTTAGATTTTTATATTATCAAAATCTCTCCTCTTCTTCATTTCAGCGTCGGACTGAGAAAGAAAAGTGAAATCGGCCGGTTGCCTCAGCTAGTCGACAAGGTACCCGATGGACTCGTATTGAAAAACAGAAATGGGTAGCACGCTCTCCTTCTCCTTCTCCAGGTTCGATCTCTGTATCTCATCCTAAGAGCTCATCTTCTACCCCTTCTTCGTGTGAGGTGATGGGAAATGGTGAAGGTGGAGTGGAGGATCGTTTGGATCAAAGGAGAGATCTTTCTGAAGCCATTGTTCCACGGGATGCAGAATCATCGTCTTCATTGACCAAGTCCGAAAGTATTGATTGTTCCAACGGGGTGACAGTTTGTGTTGGATGAGACCTTCATTTTAAGTTGACAGATGATTTAGCCGTGTCTTTACTTAATGAACTTAAGCTCTGTGTTGATCTAAAAGGCTTAAATGGTCTACCTTGATTTGATGACAAATTTTACGGATGACCCTGGAACAGAGTTGAATCTGCAATTAAACTTGTATCAGAATAATGTTGAAAGCAAAGGGGAGGACTTTGAAGATCAGTCTCAACAGATCTGTCCTCTTGCCTGCGATATTGATTTATCTGATGTGGACATTATGGAACCCCTAGCAACTGTACACCCTGATTGCTTAGAGACGGTTAACAATTTGGGTATGGACTGGGTATTGGATAATATTGGCGAGGTCAGCGAAGCTTTGGGTGTCTCCTTGGAAGGAGATGATGATCGAACACAAACCATTCTTCATGATATTGTGGCGGGAAACAAATAATACAGAGACCTCTAAAAGCACAAAAGTTGTTAAATATAAGAAACATGCACATCGGAAAGGTGATTAGGAGGTTCAGAACCTTATTTCTAATGTAAATTACGAAGGGAAGAATGGGGTGAATAAAGAAAGGGGAAGGACTAGAAGTGGGAAGCAGGGAGGAGGGGCACTGATCATTTTTGGTTCTCAATGAAGATACGAATTATTACATGGAACGTCCGTGGATTAAATGATCCGGACAAAAAAAAAGTGGTTAAAGTTGCTTTAAAGAAGTGGAATGCCCATGTTATTTGTTTGCAAGAAACCAAGTTGGCTTCTATTTCTGATGATGTGGTTAGAAGCCTTTGGGGAAGTAGGTTCGTGGATTGGGAAGCCTTGAACGCCTCTGGTACATCAGGTGGCATTCTTATTATGTGGGATCTTAGGTGGATGTCCAGAACGAATATCTGGAAAGGGCTTTTTTCTTTGTCATGTGTGTTTCAGATGGAAGATGATAATTTCAGTTGGGTCTTTTCTGGCGTTTATGGACCCGTTATCGGTTGTGATAGACCTGTTTTTTGGCAGGAACGTAGTTACATTAAGGAATTGTGGTCATTGCCTTGGTGCTTAGGCAGGGATTTCAATTCTGTTCGATCTCCATTTAAGAGATCCACAGGGGGGAGGTGGTCTTCGGAGATGACCTAATTCTCCGATTTTATTGATGGTCACCTTCTTATTGATTTGCCTTTTATTGATGGTCACCTTCTTATTGATTTGCCTTTGGAAGGGGCAACTTTCACTTGGTCTAGCGGCAGAGAATCAGTTACTTTATCGAGGCTCGACAGATTCCTGGTTTCTGGAGATTGGGAGGAGAAGTTCCCGGATGTCACTCAGGCAGCTTTGGTTAGAGTCACGTCTGATCATGTGCCCTTAGTTCTTGATTGTGGAGGTATGAGATCTAGACGGACTCCATTTCGTTTCAAAATATGTGGTTAAAGCTGAGGACTTCCAAGGGAAGGTCCAGTCCTGGTGGGAGAAAGCAGTGTTTACTGGCTCTACTAGCTATGTGCTTGCTAAGAAGTTTCAGATTCTCAAATTTGAGCTTAAGGAGTGGAACAAAGAAGTGTTTGGGAATCTTGAACGGAAGAAAAATAGAGTCCTGACTGAAATTGCTGAGATTGATCGTCTTAATGAGACAGGGCAAGTTACGGAATCTCTTCGCTCTTGAAGAATGTCTTGTTAGGTGACTTTTGCTGAGATTGCTACTATGGAGGAGATTTCGTGGCGTCAGAAATCTCGAACTTTGTGGCTTAAAGAAGGTGACCGCAATACTAAATTCTTTCACAGACTTGCTAACGCTCATAGAAGATACAATAACATTGGGCGTATTCGTGTGAATGGTTTAGAGTTGCGGAAAGAAGATGAGGTGAGTGGGGGTATTGTTTCTTTTTATCAGCAGCTCTATACTGAGACTTTGAAGTGGAGACCAAAACTTGATGGTTTGCATTTCGATGCTATTTCTACGCTGGATAGTGATATGCTTGAGGTTCCGTTCTCTGAAGAGGAAGTTCTCAAGGCGTTATCCAGTTGTAATGGTGATAAAGCTCCAGGGCCAGACGGTTTCACTATGCAGTTTCTGAAGGAGAGCTGGGAGGTGGTGCGTAACGAGGTAATGGGCACTTTTCAGGAATTTCATTCTTATGGCACATTGAGAAATCATTAAATGCATCTTTCATTGCTCTTATTCCTAAGAAGGGTAACGCCTCTGACATTAAGGACTTCCGGCCAATCAGTCTAGTGGGGTGCATGTATAAGCTTATTGCCAAGGTCCTTGTTCTTAGAATGTGAAATGTTTTGGATGGAATTATCTCAGAGTCACAAAATGCTTTTGTTAGTGGTAGACAGATTTTAGACTCCGTTCTTATCGCAGGAGAATGTGTCGATTCCAGGTTGAAAAGTGAAGTTCCTGGTGTTTTATGCAAACTTGACATCGAGAAAGCTTATGATCACGTGAATTGGAAATTTCTTCTTTACTTGCTTCGGAGAATGGGGTTTGGGGATCGATGGATAAAAAGGATTGAATCTTACATTTTGTCAGTTATGTTCTCCATGCTTGTGAACGGCTCTCCTGCTGGGTTTTTTCCGAGTTCGCGTGGTTTGAGACAAGAAGATCCTTTGTCGTCCTTTCTTTTCCTTATTGTCATGGAGGGATTGAGTAGATTAATGAAAAAGGCAGAGGATTTGGGGTACATAAGGGGGTTCACTGTTGGCAGAAATGTTGTTAACCAGATTGTGATATCCCATTTGTTGTTTGCAAATAATACCTTGGTTTTCTGTGATGCTGATGTTTCCCACCTCAGGTATTTGAGGTGCATTCTTACATGCTTCCAAGCAGTGTCTGGTCTTAAGATTAATGTTGGAAAGAGTGTGTTTATCCCAATGGGGGAGGTTTCCGATATTTCCTCTTTAGCTACTGTTCTTGGGTATGGATTAGGTGCTTTTCCACTCCCTTATCTGGGATTACCTTTGGAAATCTCCTCCATTAGAGTGGGGACTTGGGATCCGGTGATTAACAGGTATGAAAAAATATTAGCGGGATGGAAAAAATAGTATCTTTCAAAAGGGGGAAGGTCACTCTTATTAAGAGCACCCTCTCGTCCCTTCCCACATATTTCTTATCTCTGTTTCAAATCCCGTGCTCTGTTGTTGAACGAATTGAAAAAATTCAAAGAGATTTTCTTTGGGGTGGAAAAGGAGAAGAGTTCAAGTATCATCTTGTTAATTGGGAGTAGGTTTGCAAACCGTTGAAGTTTGGCGGGTTAGGTATCCGGAAGTTGGTCCCTTTTAATAGAGCCTTATTAGGGAAGTGGTTATGGAGGTTCGGTAAAGAGCGTCATCGACAATGGAGAAGAGTTATCTCGTGTCGTTTTGGGGAGGAGAGTGGAGGTTGGTCCTCTCGTCCTGTTTCTATTTCTGGGGGTGTTGGCATTTGGAAGTTCATTCGGAAAGGGTGGGATGTGTTTTCCACCCATATTCGGTTCAAGGTTCGTAATGGTATGAATGTTAGATTTTGGGAAGATTTATGGTGTGGTGATCAGTTGCTGTCTCTTTCCTTTCATCATCTCTTTAGCATTGCCGAGAATAAGCATGCTTACGTAATTGACTGTTATCATCTTGATAACAGTGGAGTTACGTGAGATGTGCGTTTTAAGCGTTCTTTTCAGGATTGGGAGATAGTAGAAGTTTACGTCTTTTTGGACCTGTTGTATAGACAGAAGGATGTTGGCAGAGGTTGTGATGATATTTTGTGGACCCCCTCTCTTCATGGTAGATACGAAGTTCGATCCATGTTCTTGTGTTTGTCTGATTTTATTGGGCATAATTTCCCATGGAAGTGTATTTGGCGCTCTAAAGGTCCTATTAGAGTTGCCTTCTCTGTTTGGACTGCTACCTGGGGAAAAATTCTAACATTGGATAATCTGCGCAAGAGAGGTAATACCATTGTTAACTGGTGTTGTCTCTGTAAAGCTACTGGTGAATCCGTGGACCATCTCCTTATGCATTGTCCTGTTACTTCTGATTGTTGGAATCTCATATTCAGTATTTTTGGCGTTCAGTGGGTAATGCCTAAGCACTCTTTCCAATTTATTAACGCTTGGAGAAGTTACCCTGTTTCTGGTCATGCTCGTGATTTTTGGAGAGTCACCCCACACCGTGTTTGGTGGTGTATTTGGAGAGAGAGAAATAACAGAAACTTTGAAGGGAAGGAATCGTCTTTTGCAAACCTTAAGTCTCTTATTCTTCGCTCTCTTTTCTGTTATGTTAGAGGTAGCGCTTGCTCCTCGATTGATGATTTTTTTGTTCTATTGGACTCTGTTGGTCCGTAGATTTGGTTTCTGCTCTTTCGTTTTCTTTTTTTGTGTATTAGGGACACGTTCCCCTTTTGAACATTTTTCTAATATATTTTTACTTATCAAAAAAAAATATATTATTTGAACCATTTTTGGTACTACTTCAAGGTACATTATATTGCAAAAGTTAAATTTTGATACAATTATACAAAATCCTCTCTTTTCCTACTCAATTTTAATAATATGTGCTCCTACAAAATTGAAGACATTATCTCCCACATTATACAGAATAACTGAACCGACATACACATTCAACAATTCTTAACATAAAACTCATTCGACTTCAAGTAATGGTATAAGCATATGTGTGTGTGCATATTCTGTATAGCCTATATCCCCTAACAAAGCGCAGATTGATTCATTCCAATTCTTAATAAAAAATACAGTCCAAAAAACCCTAAGTGAGCAGAATTTCCACAATAGGCATATTTGTTAAAATCGAAAGGAAGAAAATTTTTACAAATTCAAACTATATACCATACCTTAGCTAGCGAGAACTCGTCATCAGACACAATTGGCTTGTCAGCGGTGGCGGCGGAGGAAGGTTGGGTCGAATCAGCGGCTCTGGCGATGAAATTGAGTCTCAAACGGTGGTGAGATTGGGAGAAAACGAGTTCTTGATTGATGAAGATGCTCAAACCTGTGCGAGGGTTAGGTCGAGGAAGCGTCGACGAAGGGCGGTTTAGAGAGAGAATATACTTGCGACTGAAGAGACCGATTCGGTGCGAGCAGAGTACAGTTCCTCCGCCGCCTCCTCCCATTACCGCCGGCGCCGCTGCTTTGATCGTCATCGCTCTCTCTCACTCTAGATTTTGTCTCTCTACAAACACTGTTCTCTCCTTCTATATCCTTTGGAGCAGAACGAGTGAACAATTGTAATCTACTCTCAACCGCCAAAATGGAGATGACGTGTCACTCCGATATCAACCGTTCTTATTATCAAATACTGGGTATAATTTCCAAATGATGGAGAATTACTCTAATAATAAACTCCTCGTAACCATTGGCTTTTTTTAATTTTTTTTTTTATTTACAATTGTAAAATTATCTCAAGTTTTTGTATTTTTCATTATAAAGTTTTACATTTAGGCCAATCGGATAACTTGACAAATTATTTATATTTGACTTGTTTACTAATTATTAATTTGATATTTGATTTGCTAAAGAAGCAATTTTTGTTAAAATATTTAATGTTAGAAGCTATGAAGCACGGATACTCCTCCCAGGGGTCCCGTACCCGTGTCGGATACTTTTCGGACACCGACACCTGTAAAGTGTCCAAATATTATTTTTTATTGGACACGCGTGTCCGAGGCTCGGACACACGATCAGACACTTCTGTAAAATGTCCAAATTTTATTTTCTCTCACCCCTCTCAATCTCTCCTCTTCTTCAATTATCTCTCCTCATGAACAAGATATATATATATATATATATATATATTTAAGTTACATGAACAAAACTTTGTGAAAGACTAAAAATATATATATTTATTTATATACATATTTAGTTCATTATAGTTATGTCTCTTCTGCACATCTTCGATTGGAATTTGGATCAATTTTACTTTTCATTTATTTTCTGTTTTGTCTTGTCTATATTTTTCTTATAACAGAGATGAAATTATTGAAATTGATTCTGTTCTTTATTATTGTTTTATTTTTCTGTACAAGATTCTAGTAATTATATTTTGAATATATATATATATATATATATATATATATATATATATATATAAAATTTTATAGGCGTATCCCCGCCGTGTCCGTGTCTTATTTTTTTGAAATTTACCTTGTCGTAGTATCCGTGTCGTGTCGTACCCATATCCCGTATCTGTGTCCGTGCTTCATAGGTTAGAAGAGATTAACAAATAATGATTTAGAAAAGAAAAAATAATAATAAAATATAAACAAAAAAAGAAAAGGTAGAAAATTTGGCATTTGGATTTTATTAAAGAGAAAAACAATAAAGAGAGACAAAATATAGAGAGAAAAGAAGAAGAAAAAAATAATGATTAAATATGTTTTAATAATTTATAAATATTATATATTAGAGCATTAGATTATATATGTATAGTATATTATAATATGTCATATGGGATGTATCATAATTCATAACATGAATGACAAAAGTAATAATAAGGGTCTTAGTGGTATTTTTTTTAAATTTTTTTAAAGTGAACGGTGAAGATTCAAGTATCTGAAAGAGTAAAGTGAGTGTGTAAATGGTGTGGTGTATGTGAGTTTGTTTGCCAATAAAAAAAATAACAAAAATAATCACAGTTATCAAAATATATACTTATAAGGCCTTTTTAAACTTGTTGATATGTCAAATATTTTTTTTTTCCCATTTTCTTCTTGACAAAAAATAAAAAAATAAATACTCACACTCATTCACTTGACCCTTTGGTATGCCATTTTTAGTTTCACGACTTAAATTGACTTAAATTGGTTGGGAAGATATCACAAATTGCATAAAAATTGTTGACCTAACATTAGTAATTTAAGTAATTAAATCGAATAAACAAGACGAGTTTCAAATTCTGACACGATATAATTAATTAAACAAGTTGACACAATTATAATACAAACATAATTAACGTGGTTGGAACGATGAGCAGGAACAAGGCAGGAGGAGCAACACGTACATTTGTTGTTAAGTTTAAACTTACCTTGGTGGTAAGAAAGAAAATAATTTTTGAAAGTAGCTCTTTTCAGGGACTTCAAAACTCTTTAAATAATTCTATTGGAGTAATGACAGCCATAATAGAAAATAAAAAATTTCATCAATACTTGCTCAAAAAACTTAAAAGTAAATTTATACTTTTTTGGAAGGTTGGATATATTACACACATATGATAGTTCAGCGTTTATTATTTTGATGCATAATATTTATAGTGTTTTCTTTTCAACACACATGTTAACTAAATATTGTAAAAAATAACTTTATTATCTCATCGTATGAAAATGAAGGCACTATTATCTTTTCACGCTCAAACTCATAATAAATAGCACACATACAAATTTAAGAAATGTCCAATTAATATACAATATATATATATATATATATATATATATATATATATATATATATATCTTTGTAATTTATCAAAACTTTAAAGAATGCTATTGTAATTTGCTTACAAAATCTTGTCACATCATATGATTTTTCTGAATTCATGAATGCAACTTTATATATTAGAATCTCACCAAGTTCTAGTATTTGGATTCATAAATGTGAGTGCATCAACTGATACCTCTTGTAACAGTTCTATTTATCAATCAAGTGGTCAAATATAAACAATTATAATAAAAGCCAATAAAAACCTAATTGGACAAGACTTATTTCACTTCACTTGGCCCGGTGTAAAATGACATAAAGCCCATTAACTCTATTTATGTGATGTAGATTGTGAAAAAACAATATTTATTTTAAGTTGTCGCTGCGTTTGTTTCAAAATATTTTTTTTTTCAAGAAATATATATATTTTTAGGTAATATATATAATTTTTTTTGTTTGCCAAAGGTGAAAGTCAAATCCATTAGATGGGGGTGTATAAAATAATTTGTCGAAAATTGATGAATAAGTTATTTTTATTAAGTTTTAATAATTTTTTTTTCGTAAATATTTTACGATAACCAAATACCAAAAACCACATAAAATACTTTCTTTACCCTCAAACAAACGAACCAATATGTAATAATATCTCTGTAAAGGTATTGTTCTCTATAATTTGATGACCGGCTTAGAGCATCGGATTCATTTGGGCTGCTAAACTCAAAATTTGAAAAAGGTGTAAAAAGTGAGCTCTTCAATGGGCTTTCATTTGGGCTCTCAAATTTTAAAAATGTCAAATTTCCTCTCAGATATAGGAGCTGCCAATTTTTTTTGGCAAGTCTTCTCTCTCTGTACGACGCCGTTTGGAACGATTTTGTAACTCTATCCAAGTCTTCTCTCTTTTTGTACGATGCCGTTTGGAACAGCTCTTTATTTCTGTCTATTCTGTGGTTGCGTTGCCCTATTGTCTCTCTCTCCCTCTCATCTGCAACGACAACGATTATCGACAGCGACCGGATAAATTCTCAGATCTATATTTTCTCTTCCCCTCTCATCCTCATATATGTATGTGTATATATATATATATATATACACATACATATATGAGGATGAGAGGGGAAGAGAAAATATAGATCTGAGAATTTATCCGGTCGCTGTCGATATTTATATCTTCTCAGATCTGTAAATTTTGTTGAAAAACTCAAAATTTCTATCTGGGGTTTGCTCACACTTGTTAGTCATTATGTGTTTCGTATTTAAATGTTCTTTATTATTTTGATGAATCTTTGAGATTTTTGTACATACTTAAAAAGGATTTAGTTTGCAAAACAAGAATTATAGACCCTGATTAGTTGATTTAGAAAAAAAAATTAAAATAAAACCCATACGTACAAGTTAGCAGTTGCAGAGAGAGAGGGGGGCAAGCTTGAGAGTTGAGAGACAGCGGCTGAAGCTTGCGAACGGCGAACCCAAACTAGAACATCGGGCGATGAAAAGTGAAAGATATGGGTTTTGAACTTCTGATTCTTGTTGATTTTGTAATTTGCAGTTGCACAGGGAGAGAGAGGGGGCAATTTCAAAGTTGAGAATGAGAATAGAGATGGAGGCAATTGGATAAGGCTGAAATGATTTGCCCTAAAAATATATATATTTTTAATAATAATATAATCAAATATATAAAATATATATGAATTTCAAAAAAGAAAACAAAATTTATATAAAAAAAATTATATAATAATATAATCAAATATATAAATTTATATATATATATATATATATATATATATATATATTGGTCATTTTTTGACCAGATATTTTAGATTTTTGTTTCTTTTTAATTATGTTTAATTTTAGTTTCCTTCTAATGTCTACAACTTTACTTGAAATGTGCCTAATATTAATATTACTGATACAAATATGAATGGTGGGTATGGTAGTTGAAAAAGAATGGTGGTTGTGTCAAAAAATAGCATTTTGTATGAAATGCACCATTGTAGCAGAATTGTAACATTTTGACATTGTAGCACCTGTCAAAAGATAGATTTGACTTGCAAAAATAGCTTTTAGCATTGGAGATGCTCTCAGAAAGTTCCTTTATATTTAGCAGAGAAAAAATTTTGAAAAATAAATTATACAAAAGTAAAGGAGATATTTCTTAAGGAGAAAAAAAAAGTACAGTAAATATTTCTGTCTTTTTAATTCTACATGTCATATTTCTTTTCTTTTCTTTTCTTTTTTCAGATCCCAACCATCTTTGCAAAATCTTATTAATTTATAATATTTTTTCCCCAGATATTTTTAAACACCAAATTCAAACACCAATTCATAATTAATAAGCAAATTCATTTTCTGGATGAGCAAATTGTGCCTAGCTTTGGTCACTCCTAATTAATATAGCATCCGGAAATATAAATGGAACTTGTAACTATAGTAAGAAAGGCAAGCACCTGTGACTTTACTACATTTATTTTTTGATAAATTATACACGGCTTTACTTATATTTTTTTTACATTTTTAAAAATTTGGCTCATATGTTCAACAACATCCTTAAGTCATTTTATTTCCAATAGACTTGTAAACTAAATTTTATAAAATGATTATTTTATCCTTTTTCTAATGTGAAAGTAGTACAATAGCATAAATTATCCTACCCTCCCTTAAAACGCACATCATCTCGAAGTATTTTAGATTTTGGCGGCACTAAACCAGAAGTGTCAATCTCACCATTATATGGGGGAAAAAATTGTGCAATTTCGAATTAAAAGTTGTAAAATTTTGACTTTAATAGTGCAGAATATTTGAAGAGCAAAACGCTGACGTTTTGACTGTGATGATAAGTTGGTTATGCGACACATTTTGGATAATTCGATTGCCAAATGTAGTATACTATAGATGATTTTTGTTCCTCGTATACAATTGCTCAACTGCAAAAACACAGTCACTCTCCATGAATATACAGGCTAAAAAAAGGACTGAAATGATTCCATGGAAGGGTGTTTGTTTCCTCAGTGTGTGTGAGAGAGAGAGAGAGAGATTGTGTGTTTTCTGTTTCCAACCAAAAAAAGGAGCATGCACGTGATTCCCAAGCTGGAACCAATTCCACCAAAATAAGAACAAAACATTACATCACCATTCCACTAGCTACTACAACCACAAAACCAAAAACAACCATGCATGACAGATTCCTTCCCCTCTCTGTTCATTCATGATTGCTCTATTCTCCCCATCAAGAAAGACTCACTACTTACCAATATCTCTGAAGAGAAAAGTGAGATAGGACATAGATATAGAAATAAGGGAGAGATAACATGTCAGTGATCACGGTCGTCCGATACAATTTCATCTACTTTCCAATGTCTCTGAAGAGAAATTGAAATAGGACATAAATATAGAAACAATTATATTGACGGAGAGAAAAAACGTGTCAGTGATCATAACCGTCCTTACAGAGGAACGCTTGCTCGAGAAAATATATTTAGCACCCGTTAATTTGGTGGCAAAAAATAATTTTCTTTCTCGGTTTGTGTTTATCTCTCTGCCTTCTTCTCATCCACAAACTCCTCCATGACAAGCAACCACCTTGCTTGCACCTGCCCTTTTGCTTTGCCTTCTCTCCTTGATCTTCTTCCTCGCTGCTTTTTGTTTCTTCTTTATCACCTGTAACTTTCACTTCAACCTGCACATGCAACTCACATAATGTTCTGACATTAGTGTCAGACACCATATGCATGTCACACTCAACTTCATGGCCAAATATGGTTAAAATTAGTACGTGTGAATCAACTATTTGAGTGTTTAATCAGTGTCAGATTTGATTGTTTTGTGTTTGAATTTCTGGAAGAAGTTTTTGACTGCTTTGTGAAATAATAACTAGGTACCTAAATTTTGAACCAAACACAAACAAGAATCAACCCTTTTGAACTTACAGGTGAATCAACTATTGAGATTGTATGTGTTTTGAATTTTAGGAAGAAATTTGACTGCTTTATGAAATTATAACTAGCTACCAAAGTTTACCTCTTGAACTTACCCAAGATAAATAAATAACCCTCTTGAAATTACCATACCTTACAAGCTCAAAAAAAAAAAAAAAGTTGCCAGGCTACCTCCTAAAAGTTTATGGTATTTCAAATCGGAGTTTATAGCTGCCAAGCAAATACACACACCCAATGTGTCCAGTGAGGCTCGAACACCATGCCTCCCCTTTAATAATTAAAAATATATATATTTTCAATGTAAGCATGGATGAGTCAAGATTGATTTTATCCCAAATCATCCAACTTAGCTTGTATGAGCCAAGATTGAGGACTCTGGTTGAAGTTCTAAAATGCTGGGTTGGAATTTATGGATTTCCTAACACTTAATCAAAGAGCAGACCTCCAAAATTTCATGATCTGTTCAAAGTCTGAGGTTTGTTATCACTTTGTTTATAGATATTATTCTGCAAAAGATTAGATTCTCTTGACCCAATCAATTTGCAGATTTGGCTTTCTTGTCATGTTTTTTTGTTGTCTGGAGCCTTCTCTGAATTCATTCCCTTTTTGTCAGAAAATTTTGCCTCATAAAATAGTTACTATTGATTGGATTGGATAATTCCTTAAGAGTGTGTTCAACTTATTCACTGCATCAACATACATTTAACCAAAATTAATGATGTGACTACCTCATAGTTATTTTTCAGCCCTTCACTTTATAAACCCCTTGAAACACATGTTTTTTTTTTTAAAAAAAAAAAATAACGGGATTAAGAATCCCAAAAAACAAAAAAAAATTAGTCTACTAAACGAGGCTTCTACGTGGTCTAAGCAGCATCGGCGGATATACGTAATCTTACTTCAGCAACAGAGAGACTGAATTTTTTTTTTTTTTAAAAAAGACTAGTCCTATTCTAAGTATGGACACACATACGTAATCTTACTTCCACAACGAAAAGACTGTTTCTTTATTCAAACTCGTGACCACCAGATCACAAGGAAGCAACCTTATAGTTGCACCAAGGTCCACCCTCCTGGACAAAGGATAAATTGAAAACTCAAAAAATTTTGCATTGAAGCATCTTGACAGAGTACTTGAGAAGAAAGAAAAAAAACAATGTAGGGGCCAAAAACTAGTTGATGGTAAAAATGGAAAACAGTTTTGTGCTGGGATTATTTTTGTTTTGAATTTACCAAAAAGGGGATATTCTGTATTTATGGCCTATGAATAGATGCTTTCTTGCCAGGTAAAAAGAAAAATGATTCTCTGGAAAAAAAGACAAGCACAGAAGTATAGGGTGCTAGAAAAGCAAGACATTTGGGTGTAAACTTTTGATTCATACATGTCCTTTAAGCCACATGGGCCCAACAATTATGAGGCCCCCCACCTTGGAAGGGCATTGCCTAATTATATGACATCAATCATGCAATCTCTCCCTTCAGAGAAACTCCATTTATCAAGTGGCAATACTGTGTGTGTGTGTGTGACACACACAGGAGCAAATTCAAAAATGAAGCTAGGAATTGGTTGGTCTAGGTTATTTCAAATGATCACCTATACATGCAGTCCAAGGTTATTAGTATCGTCTAGTACGGCGATGTATTGATCGATGCGTAATTATTTTTTAGGCTTGATACACGATTCGTATCGATCAATTTACACTGACTTTATCTGAGTCCGTTATACCGCGCTCGCAACCGATGCCGAGTGAACATGCTCTAAAGTTACTTGTGAAAGTTATTTAATTGCTTTCATCAAATATATATATATATATATATATATATATATATATATATATATCAGATAATTTAATTTCAAATATAAAATGAATGGTAAGATAAGGATTGAGATATGATTGCCTAGTGTAATAAAGTAATGGAAAAGTTTGGAAAAGGAAAAATAATGCACTTTTTCAGTCATAATGCAATTTTTGGAATGAAACTACTAATAGCCTCTAAGATATATACTTTAATTGCAGAGTAATTTATAGACCAGATTGTGACATAGGCAAAGAAAATTTGGACCAAAACTCAGCTTTTAAAACCAATCAATTTAGGAATAACCCTTTTTGAAGCCCCTTGATTTCAAGCTACAAAAAGAACCAGCACTCTAAAACATTTTTGCACATTTTATAAAAGCAGCTCTGCTCTTGATGGCCATAAATTCCATAGAAAAGTTTTAGTTGGGAAGAAGAATTTGTTGGACAAAAAAAAAAAAAAAAGAGTTAAACGCGTCGTGATTTTAATAAAGTGACTCTAAAAATGCGGAAAGGAATTTAAGAAAGAGAAGAAGAAATGATGCAAAATTATTTGGTTACTGAGATGGCAATAAATGAAACACAAGTTTTGTGTGTGTGTGTATGTGTGAAGCAATTCATGGGAAATTTTTCAAGAATGTACCTCTTCCTCAGACTTGGTTTTTGCAATGTTAGAAAAGGGTGAATCTCCGATGACCGCGTCGCCTCGCTTGATCGATCTTTCTTCAATGGGAGGAGTTGAAGCAGGGCTAGGACTACTACTTGAACTAAGGTCAGGTGGTGTGCTTTGAGTCCCCACATCTCTAGTATTCATGCTCCACTCTTTCTTCTCTTCAATGAAACAAAAAGAGAGACATATAATTAAATATAATGAAATGGATATATATATATATATGACTAGAAATATATACAAATTAAAGAAGAGTTTTAAGACCTTGAATTGGAATGTGGACGTCATTTTCATGTAGAGTGAGAGAAGAATTTGTATGAGCTAATCTTGAGTGAGAAGGGTAGATCAGAGGTGCTGACATTGCAAGTCTGCTTGTTAATCTTCCACTAAGTGTTTTCGCCGACAAACACTCCATTGGAACTTCCCCTGATAAAGGGTTGCAGATATATTTCTCAGCTTCATTCCACTTGGAGTTTAAAGCAAAACCATCTGGTGATAAGCACTCCCAACTATAAACCGATCTCGCCTGCAATGCTGCATTAACACGAAAACCATGAATTCGCGCTTTTTTTCTTTTTTCTTTTTTCTTTTTTTATGGAAGTAGAGGTACCATTTCATCAATCGAGAGTCACGAGTTTCTAACATATTGATACCTAATACGTACCTTTTAGAGCAGTAGTGAATGAGTAGGTTGACGGATCGATCTCTTCTGGGAAAAAGACGAGAAATTTCAAGATAAGCAATACATCAAAACCAAGCTCATCATTTGCATATATATATATTGGTGATAGGCTTGTAGAAAAGAAGGTACCTTTTAAAGAGTAGCCAGGAGAAGAAGGAGTGCTGGAAATGGTTATGTTTGATCTGAAAGACCTGGTGTCTTCCCTTCTAATGATATTTGATGCTGAGAACCTTCTTGATCTCGTGTTTTCGCGGCTGATTCGAGACTTGAGAGCCCATTCTCTTAAGTTGAACTCAGGCTCGTCTCGTCGTCGTGAAGTGCTTGTACTAAGAGGAGATTGCTCCATGGTAGATGCCATGAAAGCAAGCTTTTATTGCTTCGGTTTCTTTTCCACCTCCTCCTCCTCCTCCTACTCAACTTTGTAACATTTTTATAGGGGTGTAAGTTTAAAAATCACTGGTTGGAAAATCAGCAAATGCGTAAAATATGTCTATAAAATCTTTCTAATCAGTTAATTTTGTTTTCTAGCTTAAGTTTAGTCACTGATTGTTATATAACCATAAATAGCAAACACCCTTGGGATACGAGAGTTCTTACTGCAACTTGATCCTAATTACACACCAAAGACACAGTGCAAAGGAAAAAAGTTGGAACTAAAGCACAACTAGGAATCTATACTATGTATATATATATATATATATAGTGTAGATTTATACAACTAGGAAAGTCAGATGACGTTTAATCTTTTGTTATTATTTGAAGAAGAAACAAAAGAGTTGCTATATAGCAAGGCAAGGTTTAGCGTGTGGCAAGAAGGTGAAATTTTTTGTTCATTGACTGAAGCAAAATTTTTAGAAAAGGCAATTTCCAACTTGCACACCCTTTGCTAGTGTTGGTTTGCTCCCTGTGTTGAGTCTGTTCTAGCTTGTGTTTGGGCCTTGCACCCTTTTCTCGAGAAAAACTTTTTTGCGTCTGTTGTATGCATTTGGATCGTTCATATAATATATACACTAGCGCGTGTATTATACACACCGGTAATGAACGATTGGATGAACCCATTGCACCCTCCAACGGGCACAAATAAGTTTTTCTCCCCTGTAACAATTAACTAACCATTAATCCCTAACATTCTTGTCAAAATAAAAAAATAAATTAAAATAAAAGTTGTGACATCTTTTGAATGGTAATACTTTAACTTACATATTTATTTACATGTCAACTGATTAATGGTTCGGAACTAATGAATCCAAAATCATGTAATAAATTTTACTTTAACCCCTTTCGGCTCTCGATTGAGTACTCTTAGTTCCGTTAGTGTGTAATTTTGCATCAAATCGGTGCTTGATTAGAGGAAATTTAGTTCGAGTTTCAAAATAATTTTTTTTTTTTTTTTTTTCTAATTTCAATTCTAATTGGCTTAATCAAAGCGTCGTCAATTCGACATTTCCAAACGTAACATTAAAAAAAAAAAAAAAAAAAAAAATTAGGATTGCAATTTGTTCCGGGCTACAATTAATATGGGTATAGGTGAGGAACAAAAACCATATATTGCATTGCATACGTATGTTGTGGTGGCCATTTCAATGGTAGGGTAGGGTAAGGTGATGGGGTGTTGTTGCAGGCAGAAAATAGACTGATGGCCACGCGTGTCCATCAATTCCTGTACAATGGGCACCACCATTTGGATTCCCACGTTCATCCTGGTCCATCCGAAAACTAGGTCACAACTGTCTTCTTTAATTCTCTAGGTTAGCCAAGTATCAACCAGTGCAAAAACTTATTCCATTGGAGTACTGCCAATCATAGTCAAAGCTATGTGATTCCGCTATGTATAACTTGGACCTGGATCCCCTTGGAAGGAATAGATATTGTTTTATTCTAGGCACCCGCGCATTCGAGCCGTAGGTGTACAACACGTGTCCGTTTGTGTATAATACGTACAACTCGAATGAGTCCATTACACATTGCGTCGGGTGCACTCAATTTTTTCTTTTTTGAAGGAAATTCCGTATGACCAAACAGGTGTGTGAAACTCCCAACACGAGACTTACGTTGGACTCGATGCCTGTACACCAAAACGAGACAGCGCAAAGAATCCCCTCCCCCCTATTCCCATATGAGTTTAGTTGCAAATAATATGTATAAGTGTTTTCCTAGTCTGAAAGTTTATTAGAATGCATATATATATATATGCATTCTTTTTTCAATATTCGATAAGATACTCACTACCTAACTGTCTCCATATAAATTGAATGGGGTAAGAAGATAGCACCACCATATGGTATCATGAGTTGCAATACCTTGATTTCAAATAATGACCGACTTTACGCATTTGTGTTCTTCTTTTTGTTGACATGTCCAGTTACATTATTTGGCACTTTTGGCATCCGAGGTTACAATTTGATACCTAAATTACAATATATATATATATATATATATATATATATATATATATATATGAAGAGAGAATTTTGTAAATCACAATTATATTACAGAAAGAGAAATTATTTTGACAAATTTGACAATATTACATCGTTAATGCAAGAACTTTAAATTATTAATATAACGAAGCAAATAAAATTTTGTGACAATTTGAACAAAAGCTCCAATAAAATTGGTTATTTGAACGAGAACTCCAAAGTTGATGAAAGTGGACATCACAGTGGGGTTGTTTTCGTTATGGGTTGGAAAGCTCGCACAGTGAAGATAGATATTATGTATAGATAGATATTATGTATAGATTATAGAGAGAGAGAGAGAGTGGGAATGGGGAGAGAGAATATTTGTGTATGTGTGCATGTTGTTGCATGACATGTGATTGTCGTTATCATGATCATGATCATGGAATTTGAATAAATAGTGGGGGACCCAAATTTATGGCCCTACGATCCAATTATGAATGTAGATGGGTCCCACTCTGAACTCGTCTCGACCGTCAGTTTTGTCTCACGTACATGCACAAGTAGGTTTCATGACAGGGATAAGGGGATCCAGTAGTTTCATTTAATTTCCAAATATATAGTTTTGAGGTATTACATTTTCATTTCCTGTCATTTGTCTTATTCCATTTCAATGTTTCTAAAAAAAAAGAGAGAAAAAAGGCACTGTTGTGTTCAGGTGTAATAATTGTATATGTACATGTGTGTGTGATACATATATATGTACGTATGTATAGAGAGAGAGAAGTCGATGATTTACTCCATGATTTTATCATCAAGTTCAATTTCATCTGCATTACTGCAACTGAATTTTATGTCACTATGGATTCAGAATTTCACACACACAAAATCATGAAAGGCACAATATTGTTAATTAATAGAAGTATAAATTGCTAAATTTTAAGAAATTTTACTTGACAAAAAGTATTTAACTTATAAAACATCAAAATAGAGAATAATCTACTCCCTTGAATCTAGACTTGACATGTAATATTTGTGATCCTCTCCCATGCTCGAGCGGACCTTGTACTCCACCAAGAGCGATGAGATTGCATCATCTGGTTGTCCACCTGCTGCTTCCACTCTCATCACTTAACGATGAAATTCTCACCCTTAATGGAGTACATGATCTCTCCAATTGTCAAGATAATTTTACTCTAGTGAGACATCTCGAGGCCTTGTAATTTTAACAAATTAATTTTCTACTTGTTAATAACCATGAAAAGAAAACATGACACAAAAAATACAAACTGTTAATTTCTACGTATAATAAAATTTTACAAATTTCTTGAACCAATTTGATCTTTTTATGTTTTGTTGGGCAAAAGAGAAGAAATAGGAGTGGAGGAAAAATAAGGATTATTTCTATCGTAACAGAGGAGACAATAATAGAAATGATAATAGGAGGGATGACATCTTTTTTTTCTCTTTTCTTTTACAAATTAAATATGAATGGAAGAGAAGAGAGAATACAAGTAGTGTTATTATGGAAGTTTTGAAATACAATACTATCCAAAATTATACAATTTTTAAATTACAATATTATATATTATAGATAATGATTGGTATAATGGTAAAAACTCTTTTTTCTTCTTTTAAGAAGACAACAAATTATGAGCTTATTATTTTTTGTTCCATCAAACCGAACAAAAAAAGAGAATAACATAATCTCTTCTGTAACAATGTCTTATTCATTCCTTCTTCTCTCCCTTCCATCCAAATTTTTTCAGAATGAGATTTCACTCCAAGGAGTCAAATGGATACGCAAATTTCTTGCATAAATAAATAAATAATAATTTATTAATTATTCCACTTTATACATTCTTGTACATAACAACCATTCAAAAATGGTCTATATGATTGAAGGAAGAAAAGAACGTTTCCAACCCGAAAATATCTTTTTGTTGTATTGTGGATTTTGTCCATATGACTTTGCAGAACAATAATAACGACTGGCCCATACCAAAGCTTTATACACCTCACCCTTTCTCGAGGGTATGGAAGGACATGCAGACACGATCTATATAATCTCACGTCAACATTCTAACATGGGTATAGATTTTGGAATTAAGTCAAAATCAAAACAAAAATGACAATTAAATCATAAAATGCATACATCAAATGTTGCCATCTAACGTCTTCTAGCACATTTGGGATCAAATTTCAACTCCAAAACCAAAGCATATCAGGGGATATTTGATAAATTTGGAATTGAAGCCTCCAATCTCCAATTTCAAATCTATGGTACCAAATTACCAATTCCATGTGTCTTATAATTGATGCATACCATACAACAGTCAAATAGAGAAATTCCCCCCAAGGACTTGGACCGACGTCACTTAAGCTCTACGAACAATTGAACCTCACAGAAGAAAAAACAATGGCACCAAAAGCTATTCACAGGTTGGTCCAAAACAAAGGCACAGAGAAGCGTTTACCGTTTCAATAACTAATGAGGATGATCAGTGATCCTATATTGTCAACGGATATTGGTTCTTTTTGTCTTTTAATCAGTAGGCTGGTCCCCTGGTGGCCTCCTGCAAGATTAAGTGTTAGTCGATTCATTAGGGCCACAGGGAACAGAATTGTGTTTGGACATGGGACATCCTTCTTACAAGTACTTTTCATCACGTGGATCTTCATTGGGTGACTGAAAAATCATGCACTTTCTCATCCCCAACGGCCACTGGGTTTGTGCACTTTGGAAACCCAGCTCAGAGATTGACGGATAAAAAAGATGTGTGTTTCTGCTCTCAGATTTGGGTGGTGAGGGTTAAGAGGAGTATGATTTTCTCAAGTTAAGCTTTCAATGGTTATCTCATACAAACACACTATTATACACACACACATGCGTGTACATACATGTAACTGTAATACGTGTACCACCAAGGGAGCCTATCTAGTGCTACTTCCTCGTCTTCGGAAATTAAAAATTGTGAAATTCCCTATAGGAGCAAAGTGGGAGCGTCAATGACCGACCGTGTAATGGTATAGAGTAATTATTGGACAATGACAAAATAACTCATGCCCAGGCAAGAGCGGAGGGAGGGGTATGCCAGCAGGGCCAGCCCCCCCACCAAAAAAAAAAAAAAAAAATTATTAGTATGTATATATATATATGTACACACTTGGCCCCCGCAATATATGGAAGGAAAAGAAAAACTAGGGCACTCGTCGCACATAGACTCTCTCAGTCTCTCTCCTTCCCCTTCTACTTGTTCCAGCAGCATGGCCACACCAATTCCACTCCCTCATAATCCTCTTGTACCTGTTGTTGTTGAGGTTGTCATTGCAAGTGTGGTATATTTATTTTTTATTTATTTTTTTCCCTTTGGATCAAGGAATTTGTAGATTTTTTTTTTTTTTTTTTTTTTTTTTTTTGACTAAATTTTTAATTTAATTTTGCTGGTGTGGTAATTGAATCTGATCGGTTCTATATATTAAAGAAGAATAATTTGTTAGTGGTTAATTTTGTATGAGTTGGTTTTAATGTTGATCCATATAATTTTAGGGAGTGGTCATTTGAAAAACAACAATCATATCTGGTATATGTGTTAATTCCAGATAACTTATGTATGAATATATGATGATTTATGCATTATTTTATAGGTTGTAATTTTATTTTTTAGTTTGTGTGGGATTTATATTGTTTAATTTAATTGATTCAAAGTAGAGGTGAGTTCCGTGAGGACTCTTCAATTACTTACCAAAAAGGAGAAAAGACCTCTTCAATTATGAAGCTTTATTCTTCTATTTTCAAAGAAATTTATGTCTAGAATTCTGTTATATGTTGCTCAATAAAATAAGTGATTTTGAATTGGATACATATCCAGACTACCCATCAGATATTTAGATATGACAACATCAAAACAAAGCATAACGATGCATATATTGCAGTGCTTTATTATTCTCTGATGTACGTACATTGTGCCCAACAAGGCAAAATTTGAATTTCCTTGTGATTTGGCTTCTGAAAGAATATCTGCAAATGGGAATTTTATGATAGAAATATAGATTATTAAAAATGTCAGATTAGTGTTCTTTTACATTACTTAAGCAAAATGTCAAGTTAGTGTTCTTAAGCAAAATCGTTTTTTTAAAAAAATATTTTCAATATTTTTCAAAAATAGATTTCCTCTTCTGCCAGTTGCAAGTGATTTTAGGACTTTTTACTTTAACAGTCACGACCGCAACCTGGTTTTTTTCTCCTCTCTTGTAATTCAGGATGTCAAAGCAAGACTCAAATACTTAAGTGTTGTCGATGTAGAAACTTGGAAAACAAATTCTAAGCTCACGGACTTGACTGTCACGGTACATTAATTACATCTAATTACGTTGTCGTTGTCTTATGTACACTGTACATGCACACATTTTCAAGATATAAAGTGTTTAGACAATGCACAAGCGCATATATTTAACTAGATATAGGCCAGTTATTGTTTTGTAAACAAATTGGCCAAATTTTGACTAGATATATTTTTTTAGTTTCTAATTGATCATGAAGTACTTTTAACTTAAAATATTATTATATTATATTGGCAAAACTGTTAATACTACGGCCACCTCTTATATTGAATCCTGGCTCCGCCCCTGTGCCCAGGCAGGTGATCATGAAGTACTTTTGACTTAAAATATTATTATATTATATTGGTAAAACTGTTAATACTACGGCCACCTCTTACATTGAATCCTGGCTCCGCCCGGTGCCCGGGCAGGAAGAAACTCTTAACAAACCACCTATTTTTCATATAGGTCAATGCTAAATGTGAGTTTGAAGGTTTTCCTAACCCAATTTTCACGGAACACATTTAAGTAGGATGCCATAAGAAATGGTAGCATTAAGGTCTGATGGTTGATGATATTAAATATTCATGTTCCACCAAAGAAGAAGAATAATTACACAAGGAGCAGTGTCATAAGTAGAATTTCTTGTATTACATGATTCAGTGCACTTACTGCCACAGCCCAAAATTTCAGCATATGGTTGAGATTCAATAGTATTTTTATCCTAACAAGCTTGATAATGGATGGCATGGGGTAATAAATATGATGATCGAACTTAAATATCTTGCAACATTATGGCAAAAGCTGCCCCATACCTTCATGAACTTTGGGTGGATGCTGGTTTACTTCTTCAGCTGGCAACCACAGATTTTATAAAGCACCACAAACAGCAGCAAACAGAAGAAATACGAAACCAACTGCCAACAGGATCTCACATTTACCACAAATTTCTCTTGCAGCCTACAGAAGCAGGCGATGGAGCAAAGGAGGCTTTTGACTTGTCAAAAGACTAGATCACGCACATGATTCAGAACTCCATTGAGAGGCATCCAACTGGTCCCATAGTACTAACGTCTGCAGAAAGTCCATTAAAATGAATTCATGCAAGAGATGCAGATTGTTGAAATTCAAGCATTAGGACAAATCAGTCTACTAGGTGATCAGACATCCCATTGAGGAAAACAATTCAGCTGTCTATCATGACATGTAAAAAAAAATGTTGTGTTTTTCAGAGGTTCATTTATGACATAAAAAACACTGATTATTTACGGTTTGAGATTTCAAATGTCATGAGCACAAAATGAAGAAACATTGCAATTCCATGAGATGTCCAAATGCAATTTTAAGGAAAAACACTTGGAAAAAGAAAAATATATAAAAAGAAGCACTAGCAATATCAGGGCAAATATAACCACCGGTCATTGGCCCAAGTGGTATAATCTCTCCTCTCCAAAAGGGAGGTGAGGGGTTCAAGCCCCATAGTCGGCATTTATGGGGATGAGTGAGTATTTTACCTGGCCAATAAAAAATAATATATTAGGGTTATATGCATCTGCAATCAGATTTGCCTTTGGCTTAATAGGGATTACATCCCAACAAAAGAAGATTTTCGGTTAATTTGATGTTGTAATTCATTTAACTCCATTTTTGTATACTCTTGTTCCTAAAAGTAAGGATAATTTTTAACAAGACGATCAGCTTTCAATGGGTGAATATTTCCATTCACAATCTTTGAAGACCGCATATAAGAAGTTCATGGCCATACATACATTTAAGAACTCGGTGTCCTCGAGGCCATGTGTACCAGTAAATACATGAGATAAATGCAGCTCACGGACGGAGAGATGAAATGAGAAACAGAACCATAAGTGACAGCCAACTGAAATCAAAGACAGTGAAGTATATCATGGGATGGACAAATTGACAACCTCCGAAGCTCAGATTATATATACCCACAAACATGTATATAAGTGACATTATCGAAGAAAACTTACTTTTTTAAACAAAAGACTGATCCAGGAACCCACTCAACTGGCATAAATCATTTAATCTGGCCTCAAACATAAATACCCTAAAAAAAAAAACAAAAAAACAAAAAAAAAAACTGACATTATAGATCCAAAATTGCTATGAGGAACTAACAACTAGTCAACTAACTGTTCTAAATGGAATGACTGCAATTATGGGATGCTTTAAAACTGGCCAAAACAATGTTATTATTGCCCTTAACATATCTAAAGAAGTAAGAGAAAAAGTGTTGTAAGGTAACTGTCTGTCAGGCAGAAATACAGGAGAAGTCGAAACAAGCAGCATCAACAATAAGAACTGGACTCACCAATCCAAAGAGGTAGCCACCAAGAACTTTCAGGAAATCGCATATGCAAATATACTTCCTGCAAAACAGGACAGACATTATCAAATAAATTAAAGAAATAGAAGAATTCTAACAAGTACAGTTAATAATTATTTATTTATTTTTCTTTGTGAAGTAAGGCTCGTGCACCCACTATTATTTCAATGGGGACTTGAACCCACAACCTCCCATGTGGAAGTAACAGGAGATACTAATTGATCTAAGGACTAGTTTGGTGTGGTGGAATGAATTGGAATGGAATGAGAATGGACGTGGAAATGGAATGAGAATGGAATGGAATGGTCATTCCTTTTGTTGGAAGATGGAATAATTTTGATGGAATGGCCATTCTCCAAGAATAGTGGGTAATGATGATTCCAACTTTAAAATTGGCACCAAACATGAGAATGGAAAAAAACCCATTCCATTCCACTTTCTTTTATTTCATTCCACCACACCAAACTAGCCCTAAATGATCAAGCCTTGATGATACATGATGTTACTACGAAAATTTTCAGAAGTGCAGTTAGAGGTCCCAAATAAATCGCAGAATACTAATCCTCTGTAGAACAAACAAGAAAGAAGAAAAATACAGTTTCTTTATATTGCAAGGAACAAAACATAGAAATATAAATAATTAATTTTAAGAACATATTCACGTAACAAAATCAAATTGTTCATCGATTTTATTTGTTAAAAAGAAAAGTTAATGCTTCATTTCCCATGGAAAATTTAGTATATTACAAGATTGGGTGTCTAATTTGGAAAATCTTATGGCAGTAAACACTTACACTAGTATCGGTGACAAGCTTTTCTCATTCAAACAACAAAATATATTTAAAGATAAAGAACCCACGGCATACCATGTCCAAGAATCAATATTGCATTTCCAGCAAAAGGAATAATATCTTGAATCTTTTCACTGCTAAATATCGCTTGAGTAACTAGCAAACAAATCAGAACTAGTTAAAATCCATATTGAAGCAAAACTGTTGAGTATTCAATAATTAGAAGCATAGCATTAATCACAGGAATTCACAAGATATGAGAATGTTCGCTGAATCAAGTTTTCCCAATATAAGAGAACTTCATTCATGCATATATAATTGAGGTTTATAGAGGTTCTAGCTCGAAGCACCCTCAAAAGGTCTGAATTCTGAATCAAGTGAAAGTATTTGCTGGTTTTATCCAGAGAGCCAAAATAACATTTGCAACTACAGGAATAATATCTCAGACCTTTTCAGAGGCAAATATTTCTGGAATAATAACTAGCAGAGGAATGAGAAAAAATTTGGATTGCCAAAAAAAGCAAAAAATGTCAACAATTCATACAAAGTGAACTACACAATGAAATCAAGAGATTGCAAAACGAGAATGGGAACTTTATTCAAGTGCGTATAACTCAGGTTTTAAACCTCAAGGAAACCAGATGAAGGCAAAATCAACTGAAAATATTTTGCAGGTTTGTCTAAAATTTCTTTTTTTGCCAGAAGAATATTTTCTTAAGATAATTTCAAAAGCAAATACCGCATAAATAAATCGCAGAAAAAAGTTTCTGAAGTGATACAACTTTATAAATGACACACAAATGCTCCAACTTAAATCCAATGTCATAGAGTATGAACCAAGAAAAAGAATTTGCTGCCTCTGTCCAAATGTAGATGAAAAAAGGATGACAAAAAGAATTTAACCAAATAAATTTGCAGTTGTAGAAACCTGAAAATTGCATTGGCTTTTCCTCACTGTTTTCTTTATCACTCTCATTAACAGAAGTATCCGGGTCAGATAATGTCATCATGTGTACAGAATGATGTCCATTCGATAACCAAATTGTTTCTGTTCCTGCAAAATGAGCAAAAGTGCTTTTTAGCTTTAGAGGTATATAATGACTCATTATCTCATGATTTTTCCTGAAGCAAAGGTGAAATAGCAAAAAGTTTAATAAATTGACTTGAGGCAAGAGCCTTTTTAACAAGCCACCACTTAACTAGATTTTCATGGAAATCTAAGAGAAATTCAGTTTCAGGTGTGTAAGCACATTCCAACATGAATGTACCCGTGAAGATCTAGAGAAATATATCAGTCAAAGGAGCATACTTGTTGAAGTATCAGGAAGAACAGCCAGTTTTTGAACTTCCATGGCGGAAGTTAAACAATTCATGTGACAAGGAATTTCTGGACCAAGGACAGGACTGGACAGGCACAGAAGGTGTAAACCTCCCAGTGAGTCCAAGATCATAAATTTAGTCGCAGATAAGGCATCAATTGAAATTGCCTTTGCTGAATTCAGTGGTTTTGTTGATTGGAAGTTTTCAACCTCCTTGCTCTTAAATGCCACAAAACACACACCTCCTCCTTTACAGTCTTGTCTCAGTTTCATAGACCTTGGCTTTACTGCAAGTTACAATGTACTATCAGCTGCTGTAAGCAACAGCAAAATGAATTACTACAGAAATGTGATCACTAATGAAGACTGGAAGCAACATCTGATTCAATATAGAAATAGGTACTCAGATCATGCGAACAAGAAAAATTTCCTACGTATCAAATCTTTTATGTGGGCGATAAAAGAATAATCAACAAACCATCAGCCAAGAAGGGAATAAAATGGGATGAGAACTCAAGAAGAAATGATGGACAGGACATCATTGAGGATATCATTTAGTAGTCTACCACCTAGAGGTATCTTCTATGATTTTTACCAAAAGATGATACTCTATTAAATGAATGATCTGTTTCGCAATCATAAAAAATATGTAACAATAATTTGCCATAGCAAACATCATATAAATAACAGTAAATGAAAACAAACAACATACAGGGCATGGAAAATTAATCACCAGAACATACTATCGGATCTAAAGCCAGTTATTATAATTAGCTAAGGCGGCTGCAAGCATGTAACTACTTGACAGGTTTACACTTGACAGCTACAGAAGCTACTGGATGGGCACTAACCATTCAAACCTTAGTGATCTGATGCTCCCGGAAATTTATCTTAACAATTGAATAGGCAAGTTGGTCAAATCCTTCAATAACTCACTCCCCTGCTCCCCCTCTGAACCCTCTGCATCCATCCAATTCTTTATTGTCCTAGACAATGTAATGACCAGTGGGAGTTGATGGGATTGTAGGAAGTGTGAGACAGCAACTCCAAATCAAGGCATGGAAAGTTGGAAAAACACCTATATATTTGTCTATAGAATTTTTATACGAATTCCAGAGAACTTTCTTATAAAATATAAAAATAAAAATAAAAAAAACCTTTTTTTTCTGATAAGGATGTAGGTCGAAGAATCTTGCAGAATTAAAATGGCTAATATAAGTAACAATTCTCATGTATTGTTTAAAGAAAAAAGAGAGTTATATTTTCTTCCACACATATTCTTGAAGTGAACAAGAGGTACAATCTCTTAGATGTCCAATAATGCAACTTATTGACAGGGAAACTTGTACTGCATGTCAGAGAATCAAGGTCGCCTCAGCTCCATTTTTACAAAAGCCTAATAGTAACCAGAAGTACTTAAAAATTACCAAATGGTGGTGAGGGAGATTTCTTGAGTTCCAAAATGGAACATCATTGCAGTAACACTTGTTGTTCAAGTTCAAAGGTTTCTGCTTATAAAGAGTGGTGAATGTGAATTCAAATTAAGAGAAAAGCTATCTAGAGGTCCGCCCTTATATGCTTAAAACTCACACCAGCTAATCAATGGGACCAAAGGTCAACACTACCACCCAATATATCAACAAGCATCTTAAAGTTAGGTTACATGCCAGGTCAATAATTGAGAGGAATGATGGATCAACTTTATGAAACAAAGAGACCTAATGTTAAGCTACATTTAAATATGACTACCAAAGGACTAGGAGCGAAAATCAACTAGTGTCATGATCTACACCATCTACCCGCAAATAAAAATGCATAAGCAATCCCCTAATTTTCCACATTTCTGATGACAAGCATGTCAGAATTAACTCATTATTAGATGATAGATTGCATACAGAAAAAAATCTTGTACAAGGCTGTTGTCCTGAAGAAGGGGCAAAGTTAAAGATATTCGTGATCTTTTATTTAATGTGGAAAATAGAGAGTTAGAATGACTTCTTTTATGTTCTTTTATTTATTTATTCAGTTCCTCAACAACAGTGTTACAGATTTAGAATCATATTACAGAAATAGGGGGAAAACTAAAAAGCTAATACAACAACAGAACTGCCACAACACCAATATTTCTTGTTCACACTCCTCACTGGAAATTTTTTTTATACAATTGAACATAAAAAACTAAGCTAGAATTATATTCCTTGCCGTCATACATGAGCCTTCTATTTATTGAGCTCCAATCATTTGGGCCATTCCTAACATCTAGATGTGTCTCTTCTTCTTTTTTTCCCCCTCACAATCCACCAAAACCATCCCTCTAGCACCTCATCTCTGTAATCATTGCACACTGGATATTCTCCCAAAGAAAAATACATTGAAACGACAGCACTTGCCTAGCTACTTCAAAAAAAAAAAAAAATTAGCCTAGTTGAAGAAGCAACTTTCCTTGGATTCTAACCTCAAGAAAAATAAAATTCAAACTAGACCACCCAACAATCTCATGGTTCTACAACTCAAAATGGACATTTAAGAGGTGAATTAGGATGCCAACTGGTCAACTCACCTTGGGCACCATTTTATGTGTGAGTGACAACAAATTTTCCCCTTTTGATTACATAGGTAATCTTGGATCTACATATTCTATTTCTTACTGAATTCGTTTCAAGTAACTTATTATAAACGATGAGTACCTTTTCACCCATAATATATGGCGTCCCAAGTTAATTGATGTTGTTGGCCCTAAAAATAAATTAGAAAGCCTCCTTAGACCACCTCCTTTCTTTTGTATCCAATTAACAAGGTTAAACTTCAAACTGTAAGTCTCACGAATAAAGCTATAGAGACAATGACACAAGGCATCATTTAACCACTCAAGAGAACTAGAGGCCCCTCACAAATAATTAACCCAACCTTCTGGCAACAAAGCGCAAAACAACATACAGCCCTTATAGTCTATCTCCACACAAGCCATTTGATCCCACATGCCACAAAGTAAGAGCAACCATGTGTGGAAGGGAGTCAAATCAGAAGTTGAATTTGTGTATCCTTTCTTTGAGTTTTTTTATGGCAGAGTGGAAAGGGGGATGTTTGGAGGTGGAAACCTATGATAGTTTGAATTTCTGGATCCTTTCTTTGAGTTTTCTATGGCAGAGTGGGGGATTCCTATGATAGGTTGAATTTGCGGATCCTTTCTTTGAGTTTTCTAAGGCAGAGTGGAAGGGGGATGTGTGAAGGTGGAATTCTATGATAGCGGATGGTTCGGTGTGACATTAATCTTAAGGATATATGCGGCAAAGATAGACTTAGGTTCCACTAGAAAGGTGTTTACCAAAATTCCATTCTTCATCTCGAGTGCCACTTTGAACTTTTGAGTAATTAATTCAAGACCCAAGGATGCTCCTCACAGAGTGATGCATGTGTTGAAAGACAGTGAATACTAACCATCTCCTTCTCAGTTGTGATTGCTCATTATAGGTAGTACATTTGTTTAGTATTTTGGTTCCATTGGATGATACCTAAGTCCAAAAAGGAATTGTTTGTTGGTTGTATTAAAGTTGTATCACATTGCAGGAGTTTCAACCGTAAAGTTTGAGCATAAACCCCTAACTTACATAATCTCTACATGTCAAGTATTGTATTACCAAGAATGTCAACAATGCAGACAAAGAAAGTATATATACAAGAAGTAACACATACTTACCACGATCGCCATGTTTGTCGATCTTCCCTTCCGGGTAACCATTTGAAGAATTCTCTACTATCCCTTCACCACCAACCCTATAACTGGATCTAATCACCGAATTACTAGACAAATCATCACTATCATTCATTTTTTGAATTACCCCATTCGGCAAACTAGACCTTTGACCCACAATTCTATCATTGTTCACTCTACTGTTCAAATTCTTCTGTTTCCTAACCCGCCCTTTCACAAGGGGTCTCAGAGGGAAAACCCTAACCCCATTTTCCTCCCCCAATATCAAAAACCCAAACGAAACACTGATTGCCGACACAGGCTTACAACAATCAATCACAGCACACTTCATCAGCTTCACAGTCACCCCATCATCGTCCTCATCCCCCGCCATCTTCACCGCGAAAACCCAAATCTTACAATTCGACACCGAATACATGGCGAAAACGTTTATCGAACCAACCAGCTGAATCGAAACCCCGTGATTGACATCAAAAACAACCCCTACCTTCCTACTATCGAACCTAAGCCCGCTCTGATTGCAAACAACCTGCGCTTTTACAAAAGATCGGGACTTGCGGAGGATCCAGAAGCGGAGGTGGACAGCGGCGCCGGCGCGGTGAGGCGAGGCGACGAGGAAAAGGACCCGAGGGGTGGAATTAGGGTTAGGGTTTTGGAGGCGGAGGAAGGTGGCGGAGGAGGAGGGAGAGGGGATGAAGGTTTGGGGAAAGTCAAGAGTTGGGGAGTGGGAGGGGAGAGAGAAAGGGGAAAAAGAAGGGTAGAGAGAGAAAGAGGAATCGGAGTGCATGAGGGCTAGAGAGAGAGAGTGGGGTTCATAGAGGAGAGAGGAGATGTGTGGGGAGGAGAGAGAAAGAGAAGGAGGGGATTTGGGGAGGTCGAGTTTGGCAGCTTGAACAACAACCATTAGAACGGAGGTACATAAGAGGACAATCAAAAGTCAACACCTTCTTCTTTGCCTCCTGCTACACAGCTAGAGAAGGCATTGATTTGGATGAGGAAGAAGAAGAAGAAAAAGAAATAGGATTGACATGTCCTTTGGATGGTACTGTGAAAGACCAAACACAATACCAATCCTACTGGAACTTGGAAGTCCAAACTTACCTTAACGGCTTTTCCTGTCTGTTTTTTTCTTTTTTTTCTTTTTTTCGCCAATAAATAAATAAATATATATATATATATATAATTACATTTACATTTACATTTTTTTTCAAAAATAACACGAATGTGTTAATATGACAATGGGTTGCCCGTGATTCCAATCTGGAAAATTAGTCAGATGGAGTAGATAATTTTCTTGTTAAATGAAACAAGTAAAAACCCCTCCTCAAGCCGTTCTTGCATTTGTTATTGCACACAGACTTTTTCTATGTATACATTTAAACTTTGGTTTACAAGAAGTTGAATAATCAGTTTATTTAACTCTTACTATAAGCTTTATAAAAATGTAAAAAAAAAAAAAAATTGTATCATATTTATTCCTTATTGTTATTTGTTGTTTGTAACTGTTCGATTGGTTTATCGAAATAAATCATCTCCATAAGCTCACTCATGAGGATTGTGTAGAGCATAACATAAAACCGAAAATAAAAGCGTATTTCATTGGATCTAATTGATATTTTTCCAATCTCGAATAAATAAACCACCAAAAAATAATTATTATACTTTTGTATTATTATTAATACAACATATGGATAAAATAGTATTTTTTAAAAAAGTTTTTATGGGTATTTTTGAATTTTAAATAAATTTTGAACATAGCGTTTGCAGACAAAAGTGTCATATTTTATGACCGATGAAGTCAATGTTACTCATACTAGAATTAAAGATAGAAGGGAGATTAGTGTTATATTTGAAATTAAATAAGAGGTCTCTATTATTTAGATAATTTATAAAGGAGATAAATTTATTTATTCAAAATATATATATATATATATATTTACTTAGTGTATGTGGAAGAACAGGACTGCATGTTTCCCCCTTAATTTATGAGGTATTCTAATTTTTAAGAGACGTGTGAAGACCACTACTATATGTATATGTATATATGTGTGTATAATTATTGGGGTCATTCAAAGAAATTTGTGTACGTGAGACTAGAATTGCATGCTTCAGTGATGTGTTGAACAAGGCTATAATTTGAAACATTTTTTTACTTTTTACTGATGAAGGAGGTTAATTACGAGATATTAAATAATGATGGAAATATTTTGGCAAATTTTGTTAATGATAGTATAAATAAATCAATAATTATTGTCTCAAAAAAAAATGGAAACATTAGGGCTGAAATAATATGACTTCTTTAATTCAATGCTATTGCGCGAGACGTGTAATTCAAAATAGATGCGTAAGATTGACCAGGTCAATAAATCTTAATTAAGATGATCAATCTTCCAAATTAAATTCTAACATTTAATTGTGTGTATTTTACAAGAGTATATGTAGCTTTCCCAAAAATAATTATTTGTTTTCGATAGTAGTTATCATAGAATTAGAATAGAAAATAATTTTAAATTTTTTAAATTAAATAATTCACTCATTTGAAAAAGAGAAAAAAGTAGGTAAAAAATCAAGAAACTTTTTATTTTTCTTTACAGATAGAAGAAATAAAAAAATGTTCTTCATTGTCGTGCTTTGTAGCATACCACGTGGTTGCACGTGATGATTATTAAATAAAATGGGAATCCCAAACCACCTACTACGATTGCTGGAGAGAGACAATGCCATCAGGGTGCTCTTCTAAAAGTTGCACATGTTCTATTCTTAATTTTCATATTTAAAGTAGGAAAAGTTGCACATGCATGATGTATCATATCATGGTACATGACTAATTGAATATCGACCGAAAGTCCCAATTCGAACAATAGATTATTTGTCTCTTAAGTTGATGGACTTGTTTGGTGAAAGGCCCACCACCTCTTGTAATTATTCTATATTTATATCAGTTGTTTAATTTTTTTTTAAAAAATAAAAATTAAAAAAAAAATAAAGAAAGAAAGAAAGAAAAGAAGAAGGGTCTATCAATCTTATAGGTCATAGCAAATGATTTTGTATGAGAGTCGAGTCCTAATTCTTGCTTTTCAAATGGGTTAATGGTTCAAGTTTTAGTGAAGGTATAGATGTGTAAGTATTAACTAAGAAAAAAAAAATTTTAATTTTCACTTTTAGGTCTTGGATCATATTTAGTATCCTTGTAATTCAATATATATTCTAAAAATTGTAAATAATAAAGAGAGAGTGAGAACTAAAGTTTGGAACTCCTGCAATCTCCTTTTTTTACCGTTAAATATTTCTTTAGTTCTTCATCGTGAAGTAGGCTCATGGACAAAATTAAGAATTTGATTCAACAGGGGCACATTAACAGACGATAAAACAAAAAAAAAAAAAAAAAAAAAAAAAATTGGTAAAAAAAAAAGAAGGGGGCAGACTTTGAAAGAAAAAAAAATAGGATTTTATTGAAGTTTGAAGGGAAATAAAAGAAAAATAAAAATAAAAAAAAAAAAAGAAGGAAAAGACAAAGAAGGGAAAAAAAGAATTAGAAGGATTGTTTTTTGCTCTTAATTCGCAAATACTTTATTTGATACCTGGTGGACAAACGTATTTATAGGATGAAAAAATTGGGTTTTGATTTTGGATTATTATTATTATTATTATTATATATTTTTCACAATAAAGCTTCATTCGATTGATCCTGAAACTGGATTTTCCTTGTCTTATTAGTCACAGAAACACTGAATTGGCTACAAGGAAAATAAACTCCAACAAGAAACCCAACTAAATATGACAACCAAACAACCAACCACTAAGACAGTGACAGCATATAAACACATTGGCAGATATTGTTTATAATTGCTTAATGTGTGTGTGGGGTCCCTAAATATTAATAATTTAATATCATGACATTATATATAAGGAAAATGATAAGGGTGTCGAAAATAACTCTAGAAAAAAGATCTAAAATTTATTATCCGTAGAGAGTAAAAAAGTCATCACGTGTTTAGCTCACCCCAAAAATAAATTGAAAAAAAAAATTTTGTTTGAGAAGAATACGAGGACGAAGGTAATGGAGCCATGAACACTGTGAAAATGATCGGAAGAAGGTGAATATATATACAAATAGAAATATATATATATATATATACACACACATATAATTACATATATGTTGGTATTAAATCATAAATATTTAAAAAAAAATTTTTACAAATTACTCAATTGATTTAGGTATTACTCAATAATTTAATTTTAAAAATTACATAATTGTATTCGCACAACAACATTTTCAGATGTGATGGAATAATGATACATCCATGTGGCCAATAAAAAAATAATAGTAATAAAGATAAGGTCTATCTAAGTGGGGACAGTGCCTTTTGAGTTTTGATCTGTAATCCAAGTGAAAATTCCCCCAACGCAAATCGAACCCTAGGCATTCAAGTGACTTAAAAAAGCTAGCTTTAAAGATCACTGAACAAAAGTGTAATGTTAATTTTTTTATTTTTTAAAAAAAATACTTTAATGCTCCTGTTGACACGTATTATCATTTTTATTTATGAGTTAATATATAATTAGTTTTTTTTTTTTTTTTTTTTTTTTTTTGAAAGATTAAGCAACTGACATTAATAAAATATAATTACTTGTGGACCTTTGGCTAGACAGTCCATTGCTGGGACCAAAGAAGCCCAAAAAAAGGCAAACAAGGGACAAGCTCATTATTATTTACAAAATCACATAACCGCAATTGATGGCTTGATTAATCGTTAATGGTAGTTATTTGTGCAATATTCTGGTGAAGAACTCTGTAAGAAGAGCGTCGACGGCAACTGGGCTTAGTTTGGTAGACGTGATGGTGGAGGACAACAAGACGGAGAGGGATTCCAGTCACTTAAAATACATCTCGGGCAATCTTTGAGGAATCCCAACTTTAGGATTAAGGTGATTGTAAAGCAAATTCTAACACGAGCAGCTCTGCGACCATTCTTTCTGATGAAAGACCCGGTCAGTTCGTTCTTCCCAAAAAAAAAAAAAAAAAAAAAAAAAGAAAAGAAAGGTGGTTGAAGTTCAACCTTCTGCTTCCAGAGAGAAGAGACTCGCCCACCCTGTAGTAGTTCATATTTAAGAAAAATGCAACATTTTCAGTATGTCATGTCAAAATACGAACTTTCAACCACCAAAATATGAAGCATAAGGTCATGCTTGGCATACATTTTGTTTTTGGCGTTTTTATTTTTGGACTGTTACAGTATTAATTTTGACAACAAAAACATATTTGGTGTGACTTTATTTTATTTTACACAATGCTAAAACACTTCGTGAACAGTGACCCAAAACTAAAACACCAAAAAAATATTTTTTTTTCTTATTTTAACAACTGTTTATGGTCCAAAACCATAACAGTAATCATAAACACAGTTTCTATTTTAACAAAACATCATTCCTAATGCTTTTGATTTTTTTTTCAAAACAATTCTACGACCAAAATATAATTTTTATTAAAACGTTGAAAACAAAACTAATATCAAACGAGTCCCAAGTCAAACCAAAAAAAAAAAAACGAATGTGTGAGGTGAAGAGTGTTTTCCACTGTTGAGTTGTTGTACAACATTATTTATTCATGCAATGAAAATCCCTACAAAATACATGAGGAGTGAGTGGACTCCAACTAAAATTCCACTATCCACCACTAGGTCCACTACAATTCATAACCTTTCTCAACAACATGACGTAAATAAAACCCCAAAAAAACAAAACAAAAAGCAATACAAATACAATAAAGTAGAGTTAGTCGTACATCTCTATCATCATGATTGAACATTATTCAATCAGTGAAATTGGGAATGGTGGACCCAGGCTCGCAAGCCTTGGCTTCCGGCGACGGCACCACCTCGGGCGACGGCGCAACCGGCGTGCCCAGCAACTCAACCGGCAGGTCCGGTATACCCTTCAAGTAGAAAGTGTAGAACAACTTGAAGGGGAAAATAATCTGCTGCAGCTTAACCTGACCGGTCACACCCTCAAAGATTCCTGATCCACCAGTCACAGCCAGAAACGTGTCCTCGTAGGTCAAGTACGCACCCTGCACCGCTATGTGACCGTAGTCCCCAAAGTAAAAACTGTATATCGCCTCGTACCGGTCACCTTTCTTCCCCGGTTCGTTCTTGATCAAAATGCATAGACCCGCCGTTATTCCCAACCGCTTCGTCAGGTCTCCGGTATACAACTGTGAAGCAATAATTAATTACACTTCAGTGCTGTTTGAAAATTAAGCACTGATTTTTTTATTTTTTATTTTTATTTTAAGCGTTACTGATATCTAATGCTTACCATTTTCATTACATACTAGTAAAGTTTAATATATATATATATATATATATATATTTTAAATAAGTAAAGTTTAATATTGATCCATTCAGAATTAAGACTACTAGTATCAATATTACTAGGTCAAAATTTTATAACAAAATTTATTTACAGCAGTCCAAATGTAATACTGATTTTTTTAATTTTTTTTAAAAATTTTTTTTTGACACCGAAGTAACGCTATCATGAACTCAACTTCATCGGTTGTCATTAGCATTTTATTAATTTATCGAAATGATGTATAAATAGTAAAGATTAAAAGGTAAATTATAAAATAAGTGGAACATTTTCATTTTTCTTTCTGATAACATTTTTTTTTTTTTTTTTCTATTAACAAATTATAGCGTTTTCGATTAATTTGCACATTGTGTTTTTTTTTTTTGTGTCTAAATATGCTAATGTAAAGGAGAGAACTGTCATGGGTAACCTCGGTCACCTCATGACAGCATTGCTGTATTTATATCTTGGACCAAACAATCGCACGTGGGGTTAACCTCTGTTTGTTTCTCGGGAAAAAAAATTCCAAAAAAAAAAATGAAACTTTGACCCGTTGTTTGGTTGCTGAATGAAAATGTTAAAGTCCACATTTTTTGTTGAGCAGTTCTAATCAAATGTCAAAAGTAAATGAAGTCAAGTAATTGTACAAGAGTTGGTTCAATTATTTTCTTGGCAACCAAACGCAAGGTGAAGGGAAGGATTTTCGAGAGAAATAGAAGATTCCAAGAAAAAATCATTTTACATTGAAACAGAACACACCAGAAGATGAAGAGGGCTTACTTTGTTGCTAAAAGGGACAAGATCGCCGAGGCAATTGACAGATTTCTGGCTCAATCGGAGATAAGCTGGGCTTCCACGGTCTCTCTCATTCATCTCATACACAAACAGTTCTTGAACTTTAGCTGATCACAGGAAATAAAAATAAATGAAAACAGAGTCACTATATATACATGATCTACCGTAGTGAGTGTGTGTGTGTATATATATATATATTTGTTGAAGATTTGGGTGTTTGAAAGTGAAATACTTACTGGGTCTTGGAGAGTCTGATGGGTTGCTCTGGCTCTTGCAAGTGAATGATCGTCTGGTGGTGGTGGTGGTGGTGGTGGTGAGGCTGAGGTTTTGGGAGAGAAAGGGGTTGGAGAGCTTGAAGTGTAGGAGTTTTTGGGCAGGTGGAGTGGCGGTGGGTGAGAGCTTGGCGGCGGAAGAGAAGGTTCTGAGAGCAGCAGAGGTTGAAGAAGCAGCAGCCATGATCTGAGGAGAGAGAGAGAGAGAGAGAGAGAGTAGAGAGAGAAAGCAGTAACAAGTTTAGGAATGGGTCTGATGAGGATTTCTGCCGTGTGTGTGTATATATATACACATATATGTAGTGTGAGTGCAATGGACGGTGTTGGGAGATTTTAATGAAGGGAATGGTCAGATTAGGCCTATAATTTGGTCCAATTTGAAAAGTTTGATGAAAAATACGAAAAGCATGCTGTTGTGTGGCACGTGGTTTTTGGAATGCGGGAAATATAGGCTCGTTTCTGGACCGGCCAAGTCTTGTGGGCTGGTGGTGTGGGACTAGTCGGTGCACGTATCAGGCTATCAATGTTTGTCAATGAAAATTGGATTTTAAAAAAATGTTTTAATTCCAACAACCTTCGGTAAATCATTATTTGCAAATAAAAAATTATTATTTAGTTATTTTTGGTCCAAAAAAAATATTATTATTTGCATCAAGCTACAAGTCAAGTAATGATAATAGGTGAAGTGGTAAGATCCATACCCCCTTGCTTAGTCTTTTTCTGAGTGAATTTGTGCCATTAGGTGGTTTTATTATTGGCGCACCATTTGGACATGCATTAATTTTTGACGTTGTTCTTGGGATTGCAATTGCCATTGTGATAAAAAAAATTTAAAATTAAATTCAGTTTGTTCATAAATATAACTTTTTGTAAATATTTTTTACTTTTATTTGTTTGTGAAGTGTTTTAACTACATATTGACCCGAAGAGACTACTGTCATAACTCTCACTACGGTTAGAGTTTCTGTGTGTAGTTGGTACCATTGAAAAGCTACTTAAAGCTCTTGAATATGGACTCAAGAATAACTATCATATTCATATATACAAATGATGAGTAATATTGATTATTGCAGAGTAAGTATTTTTTTTTTTTTTTGAATGGTTCTACTTTATAATTTTATTATTGCAAATAGGAAATAATGGTTTATTTTGTATTTTAAGTGACAGCAAATAGTTTATATATATATATATATATATATATATATTAGAATGGAAAACTAAAACATCAAATCTGTTGTAGCTAACAAAACATGGTTATTCAGCTCCTGAGAGCGGAACTCTCTCGGGTCTAAGTCCCGCCAATGGAAATATTTTACTATTTTTATTTTCAGATGTTATTAAGTAGCTAATGATTTCTAGTTAAAAAAGAAATAAGGTCAAAATAGTGAAGAAAAACGAACCAAAGTTGGATTTGATGTTGAAAACTTAAGGTACATTGGGTACCTTTCTGATTGATCACCAATGGTGTAAATGCCTTGATCTGCAGCTGCACTGTGGAGAATGTGATCTAAATATGAAGACAAATCAAGATGAAACAATATTGGTATATGATTCAAAGCAGGTCAATTAAAATTTTGAATTATTTCTTTTTGTGTTACATATGTGATGATCATGTGACAAATCTTAGGATGTTTGACTTCTTAACCTATTGTTATTGCTTAATCAACGCCCTGGTTGTTGTTATGTCAATCTCTTAGGCCATAGCAATGGCTAGCTTGTGATATCAGGTTTTTTTATTTATTTTTGTTTTCTTGTTCTCCCCCGTGACTGATGAAGCTTGAAACTAGCTACATTTTCAGAAAATGTTTATGCAGTTGTTGTACTATTCGTGGTCGGTTGAGGAGCTGTGTTGAAAATTGTATGCATTCGACTCATTTATTGGCGCGTTTAAGAGAGATGGTGATCGAATTCTGAGAATTCCTCTCTTCGGGAGGGAAGTTTACTGTTAAAATCTGCATCTGTTGAGAGGAGATAAACAAATTAAAGAAGAAGGTGACTGTAGTCACAGTGAATTTAGCCCTAATGGAGTCAGAGTTAGAATACTTGAGCTCACAAGAAAGCTCTTTTTTGCCAATCTTTTGTTGATGCTATCACAAGCTGTGTGGAGGCAGAGGCGGAGTCAGTAGTATACATTTTTCATTTTTGTGTGCGCGAAAGCTCTTTTTTCTTTGTCCGAGAAAGTTCAAATAAAAGCGTACACACCTATAATATTGTCTTTAGGACTCGGACACTCAATGATTAAGAGAGATCATATTATGTTGACACTGTGTACATCTTTTAGGATAATATTCTATTACAAAAATGGTATGAAAGGCAAGTTCTGTTGGAATTGATTTTGGTGATTGAAGGTTTGTATCTTGGCAGACATGGTATGGATGGCTAATGCCCTGTTCTTGGACATATAGAGAGAGGAAAGCAAAATTTTTCCCTCTTGTAACATTCTAAGCTCTCGTCTCTTGAGATTGGGCGGTTGGCGTGACATCAGATTAAAAAATGAGTTTGGTTATGATACAAACTGGGACGATCGAGCAGGATGATTCGCAATCCGACCATGTTAGTGTTAGTAAAATATATACTTTATGTGACTTTTAAGATATAACAACTCTTATACTAATATGATATAAGATAATTAATAATATACTAAGAAATGATTAATTAAATATGCAAATATATATTTAATTAAATATACAAAATAAATTAATAAATAATAAATAAAAAACCTGGACCGAGGTTAGTATTAGATACTATGTCCTTAGGATAGATTCGCCCCGCTATAGTGCTAACGGACTCAGTGGCGTCTATCTCTCAGGATACAACGGTCTACATCCACCAGTAGCAGCACTACAAAATCGTGGATACGGCGAACCTCCTCCGTGTAATACTCTCCCTAACTCAAAAATGCATCTATACTATTTAAATAATGAATTGGGTGCAATCCGAACCAAATGGCTCGGACCAAATTTAATATGGCTCAATGAAATTGGTTTTGGGCCTAAGTGGCTCAGACCACTTGACCATGGCTTGAACCCACATCCACTTGGGTTGGGTTCATCTTGAGAGAGGGAGAGAATAAATTTAATTGAATGATAAATTATGGTAGCCAGTGGGGTATTTATAGACTTAGAGATGCCTTTTGGTGTATGGGTATGTCTGTTTGGGATACCTCTTGGAGTATGGGTGTATCTGTTTAGAAAAAACGCATCCTTTCATAGTTTGGTCACCTTCAACCGATTCTTAACTGTCAACAACGTTATGGTCTTTCAACGTCTGTAACCTAAAACTCACAAATATGATTATGATTCAATGTGACTTCTCAATCATGCTACCCTTACTTTCTAACCCATCCTTAACCACGTTGAATCACGTGTCAAGATTCGTTGTAATTTGGAAATTTTGTATTACAGAAACATTCTGCATCAATAACCATATTCATGGTTATTATTATTGCAAAAGATATGGTGGCACCACTCTAGTTACAGACTCTTTGATAAACAACTTCCATTCACACCAAATTTCTAACAATCCCCCACATGAATGGAAATTGGCTCCTAAAATGCAAATGATAATGTAAACACTAGAGAGAGTATAGTCGGAAAGTTACTGCATCAGGATAGGTGGCTTTTGGCTTTGAACCTTCCCTAGTGTATTGCTATCGGATTTACTGGCTAACCAGTGAACGCGATGTCTTAAACTGTTCAGCCGTTTGTGTAAACCAAGACAATAACAAACTCACAGTACCTTTCCTCACAAAGTTGGTTCTCATTGTTGTGTTCATTTTGGCCCTGAACAACTCCTGGTATTCAATGAGTGCTCCAGAAAACTTAGCCTTTATAGTTCTCATAGAAGCGGACCCACTTCACACTCATATAGGTGACTTCTTATTAAGAGTATCCTACCATACCCCACTTGAATTTTCAAGGTATAAGAGTCATTAAAAGCGTAGCTTATCCTAATCCTCACTGTAGGTAGCACTGTCTCATCATAGAAATGGGCAGAAGATTTATATCTTCCCAGTGCTTCTGGTGAGTCACTCAGAATTTCTGTTGTCCCTTTGAACCTAGATCTTGAAATCTCCAGTCAACTAGGTTGGGTTTCCATTAAGGTGACTCGTTAGCTTTCAGCTTTTAATCCCATTCCTCTCGATGATCTATACAATTGCTCTCTAGTACAACCCTCAACTTTATATGTGGCCACAAGGTTGTGTTTAGAAATATTACACTCTGCAGAGATTTCTCCAGGTGAGAGCTACTATATACTTTATGCCCTAAAATTATTTTCTTTAATGGCACAAGTGTAGACTTACTTTGAAATGTCCTCTAGGTGAAGTCTATTGACTTTCCTATTTGATTTATTCAAAGTTTCTAACTTTGAGTTATATTAAGAACATACAACTACACCTTTAATATAAAAGACATATCCACTCTTGGATTTGAAATCTTTAATATCCCATATCCAGATTGCATCACTGTTACAACTCCAATGTAGTTAGATACCTCGATCTAAGTAATCTTAGATTTAGGGTGTATCTCAACTACCCAATTTATTCTTTTTCAGTGATCCGATCCTGGATTGAAAATGTGTAATTAAACACAGTTATTAAGATGCCTTGCAATCTTAACCAATGATAAACTTTGACTAGTATTTATATTTAAGATTTACATCTACAAAAGTTAGCTAAGTTTTTGTTATCATAACTAGTATTATCTCAATCTCACTCTATTGAGAATATACTATGTTATCAGATGTTAAATCTTTCATATCAAATATACTAATTAGTATATCATTAATTTTTGTAAGGCATACAATGACTTATACATCACATTTATGTCATTGTCTTGGTACCAGCTTTAATCCACTTAAGGACTTATAAGTTTGCACACTTTCCTCTTCAACTAGATTAAATAACTCAGCTCTTCCGCTGGAAAAAAAAACTCTTCTAGTTGTTCCATAATATTTTTCTCATAGGAAACAACATGCATTATTCTTATAATACTATAAATGATTTTTGGTTCTATCCAAAATCTCTTAGGATTAAGAACCTTACATTTATAAGTATTTCTTATCTGGTGAGGTAACTCATAGAAAATTTCATTTATGGACAATATCCCCCCACAACTTTGGGATAATCCTGAAATTTTATATATGATATATTTCTTATGGTTTTCCAACTCTTGAAATACCAAATATTAAATATTTCACCTCATCTACCTTTCCAATGTTCTATATTCGCTTCTCAACTAGCATGCATAACAGTCTCTAGTGCATATGT